CAAGGCTCCGACAGCTGTAACAAGCCACCGAACCAACAATGCACGCAAGAGTTGAGACTCGAGAGACGGGGGCCGGAAGGATGGGGAGGAGGAAACGGATGCCTCTGGAAACCGACCACTTGACAGTCGTTCGTGCTTCAGAAAAGACCAGTTGACACTGACAAGTTGACAAGCGCGGGAAAAGAGACGTTTGGAACTCCACCGACGCCATTTCGTCTCACCAAGAAAAAGACGGGATGAGGGAAAAAAAAAGGTACCATTGCTTCCCAAGATCCGTGCGTGGGTAACAGCAAGGAAGGGCTCTGCGCTTTTTTCTGGACGGATAAGACGGATCGATGTGCTCATTCTGAGTGCGTGGCATGTTGTGTGTGATGGACCACTGAACCAGTGAGTGAGTGTGCATGGCAAGGCAAGGCAAGGGAATTGTGAAGCATTTGATGTCGTGGTGTGTGCCCCGTCCCCCTCCTTTCCCGGCTGTGCTGAATAGCCGTGCTGATCAGGGAAACTCATTATGGGGGCCCTTGTCAATTTTTCCTTCTTATCATTTCATCCGACGAATATCAGAGGGAACAGAAAAGGAGAGGATGGAGGTGAAGGTCGGAGGAGATGGACCTTGCATTCTAGGCTCTAGCAAAGTTGTGATGTTTGATCAAAGACGATCCGATCGGGGGACTGTCAAACGTCTAGAGAGGGGAGTTGCATCATGAAGTCTATCCGGTCTTGGCTCTTGATTGATGTGCACTTCTCATGTTGAAGCACGCACTCATTATCTCTGTCGCCTATTCTCTTATTCTCAACTCATAGAGGATTGTCGATCTGGTTGTTTCATTTTTCTCTTTCCGAGTGTTTGTTAATCGTTTTGCCTTTCTTAGGAGCGTCGTTGATCTCGCATCACTTTTGACGCTGTTGGAGAAGAGGCGGAAAAGGCTCTACGCAGTAGAAGTGTTCTTAGGCCCCACATGTCTCTCTCTTACTTGTCTTACACTCTATCTTTTGTTGCAATATTGTGTACGGAATTGCAGAGATATCCATGGGGAGTGACCCCGTTCCTCCAAGGGTCTGATTCCCTCAAGAACCGGGGGTTGACTCTGGAGGGACGGCGTGGTGGGCGGACTGATACAAGAACACACGTTATGATGACTTCAGCACGGCACTCATCACCCGATGACCGACTCGTGGCCTGCAGAATGTGCAGAGACCATCACCACCACAACCAAACCACATGCAAGCAGCAAAAGAGTCGTCGGTTTGTGACCGGATGGTCCGGCAGGGGAGCCCTGAAGTGGACCGAACCAAGGGCGATGGGGCGGGCAATCCCTTATTGCATCCGTATTGCAGTCATATTGTAGCCGTTATTGCACCCGTATTGCCCTATAATGGTCGTGATATTGCTCCAAAGCTTGTTGACAAGACGCTTAGCTCGGGTCGGATACTTGAGAGATATGCTTATCTGTTTGTTCAACTCTGCACGTGTGATGAGCACAAGCTTTGGCTTATCAGTACTGTTAATAACAACAATAAGAGACAGACAATGTGCGAGGTGACGGAGGGGCATCTCATTGCTTCGTTCTCGCATTCAAGGATCAGACTACGCGTAGGAGTTTGCCTGCCAACTTCGGTGTAAGCAGCCCTCGGTCGACTTGATGCGGCGCGGGGAACTGGCGTCAGGTTGCATGGCATGAGCAGATCTCGCCAGCCATTGCCGTGGTGCCATGCTGCTAGAACAATCTGCTCATGGGGTATCTATTTCTGGCTCGGATATCGGTGAGCTACGTGTGCATGCAAAGTGGGAATGTCAATTCGAGCCAATTGACCGCCTTTGTAGGGTTCAATTGTTCAAATCAACAGTCCAGCCTCCGGCTTCCAGTCGTGACAGTGTGAAGCGAAATCAATAATGCTGTGATTGATGCCCGGCGGTTGCAGTAGCACAAGTGACGACTCCTCCTACAATCGGAAGCAACAGCTCTGCTGGTTGGTCAGGCCGTTATAGAGGGTGGGTCGGGACCATATGGGCTCCTGCGAGGGGAGCCAATGAGCCGCGGCGCTGAACCGCCCTCCTAAATAGAGTTGAACACACCTCATTGTTAGCGGCGGGCTTTTCCCCTCCTCTGTCCTCGGTAATACTTTTATTTTTAGTCTCGATCGAACAGAACTGCATTCGATGCAGCGGAGCGGATGAGCGGGATGTACTGCAACTCACATCGGTGAGAGGGATTGCAGATTTGCACTTTTGACATTGACCAAGAGTCAAATAAGACCCTGCAGACCAGCCACTTGTCTGCCGAAGCGACCTCGATATGAGCACTTTTCCTCGCCATCCTGCTGGGGTTCTCTTGGCCATAGGCTTACGTAGTAGACTATCGAATCGTTACAGTCCAGCAGTTACGACGCTGAATCAGGCAAGTAACGAGTATAATAGAAAGTTGCTATTATCGGAGAGCACGCAGCATGCAGTCCACCGTGCTCGACCCAAAAGCACGTCCGCACATGCGTCTCTAGAGACGTAGGTGACACACAAGGATTCGTTGCCCACGCCAAGACCGTTGATACCGAGGATTCCTCTGGTGCAGGAATGGCGGCGAGAGGCTGATACCGTGGCCCGCCGCACGCACTGCAACTGCGAATGGCCAAGGTGAGGGGAAGGAGAGCAGTTTGCAAAATGGCCCTAAGAGCCATCCACGCCAAAGCTTTAGTGTCTCGAACGGTCGATCGGAGCTGTCACCATCGACCCTCGGGCACTTGCCGCAGAAAGCTGACGATGCCAGCCAACGTGCCAGCTTTATCTCGGCGCTTTGAGAACAACGGCTTTACATCCCAAAAGGATCATCTGAAGAGTCAGAGACGCTCGCTCTTGTTGCACCGATGACGGGGTAAGCCAGCAAGACGCCCAGGCTTGAGCATCATTGGTAGCGGGAGCAAAGCCGCCCCCCAGACCGCAAGCTTATGCCTTCCTCCTTCACGGCTTTAAGGTTCTGTCGACATGGGTTGCTTGACAGCTTCTGATGGCAACGTCACAGTCCCTAGTGCGGTCTGTTCTCAGTCTGAAGTGCAGCGTTCATCCTCGAGGCTTCGAGTCGTCTGTTGATCGGGTCAAGAAGACGTCGACTCGACTGAGCAGGGGCCTGCTCCGTGAGACGGGAGGCGTTGAGGAGGCAGGCGTTCATGCGGTTTAGAGGTTTGCTGGATAAGACAACACCACCGTCTTTCCTCGGTTGTCTTCCGCGCCATCAACTGGCTGCCCCATTTAAGGCTTCGTTCGCTTTAGCAACCAATCTTTTCGAAAATGGCAGCGGGGCTATAGAACCAAGTATACCATATGGCATGTCGTTCGATCGGCGAAAGAAGTCATGGAAGCTGCAGTCGTCGGATTATCGATTGATGATTCTCTATCAGCTGCTGCGCCGTACACTAGTCCCCGTCATCGTGGATTTGGGACTTTGGACAACGGTGAAGAGCGTGCCCGCTGTGGAGTATGCGACGGACCCCAAGTGCAGACGAGCAGGGGTTGTGGGAGAGAAAAAGAAAGAAAAGTGCGATCCTTGTCAATATCTTCCATGTGGCATGCCCAGCTTTTGCCAACCTCCAGCCAGAAAGGGACTTTCTTGAGGGGCAACGGGACCGGGGTCTGTTGTCCATGGTTGCGTTGCGGTCCAAAGGTGGACAGGGGTGGTTTCGTGGTGGTGGTGGAGGAGGGTTGGGTGTCGGACGAGACGGTGACTGCGACCGGGCAACGAGCAGCCGTCCCATCTTCTCAAACCAGCTGTGCCTCAGCACAGCCATTCTGGAACTTGCGTGTGTCTGAGGCGGTTTTGATCAGCCGTCTCAGAGTTTTGCAGAGGATCAGATGGCATGAACTCAGCGTGGGAGCTGGGAATTTCTGGATGGAATGGGCAGTTGGCGCAATGGGAAAAAATCCTCTTGTGGTCTGAAGTTCGGGGTGGCCTGTGTCGTGTCGTCTTGTCGAGTCGAGTGGGTGCGCGATCTCTGTTACGCTTTCGACGCCATCTGGAAGATCAAAAGAGTTTGTGCGACAGGCGAGTGCGGACGAAGCGAAGAGGGTGTAGAGAGACGTACCCTTCCTTCACCTCTTACCTAAGCACATCAGGTTCTTTCCTCTGCTTGTGTAAGAACCTGACAAGCCTGAACTAGGAAGGAAGAGACCACGATCATTCGGACCGCGATGCTTTTCTTAGATACTCACCTTCCTGCTGCTGTACCAATCCAATACCAAGACACAAGGCAAGAACAGCTCGGAAACAGGCAATGGCGGGTATTGTTTCTTTTGGCCTGTTTATCCTCCCGCTCGACTTGCCTATCGTAGATTTCTCTGTATTCTCATTTGCTGAAATGGCCGAAGCTAGATTAATTAAATCGACCGCTGGCCCGTAAATCATCGACGTCTCCTCCCCAAAGTGGTACATGAGCTTGCTGGAGGCTGGAGTCTTACAGGGCACTTGCTCACTGCTACAACGGCAGATGGCCTGCTGTAGTGCAAGGCAATTGCTCCCCCTCTCTGCTGAGTTGAGGTAAAGTGCGCTGTGTTGTCCATCTTCTGTGCGTGAGGTGGCTGACCAGGAGGAGGGTTCATGGGGCGATACCTACCAGAGCAGAGCTGGGATGACAGAAAAGACAGGGAAGATACTTTGCTTTGTGGTGCTCTCCCAGCGAGAATTCAGGTAGCCATCTCGTCCTTTCTTTCTGGTCCCAAGTACCTACCTTACTAAGGAGGGATGCGATGATCTGACGGCACACCAGACGGCCCCAGTCTCACCCCTGGTCCCTTGGCAGGTGCGCTCCACTCTCCGCCTGCCAGAGGAGAAGCGGCAAGGGGTCTCATTGGCCTGAGCTCATTCTCTAACCGCCCACGACTTGTGCGTACGGGTCCAATCACGTCGATGCGTTAACCACCTCTGTCACTCGACCCTTTCCCAGGCCCCTCCGACCTCGTCAACTCGCTCAACATTGCACACCAAAACTTCCATAGTCCATGCCTACCTCACAGATATTCTCTCATTACCTGTTCGAGCCATTCACGCACACCGATGCTCAACTCGCCTAGCCCCGCGCCTCGCCACGTCCTCCACTACCTATATTGCTTGCAGGAAACAATGTCCCTCAACTCTCTCACCGTGCCCTGGCCTCGCGTACCCATCCCGGGCAACATTGCATCCGTACCCGCTCGCCTACATCCTTCACCCAAGCATATCCCCCATCATGCAGTCAAGTGACGGCTTCAACCTCCCTGGGGGCCCTGGCTGAGCTACCTCTAGTGTCTAGTCGCCCTTCTCCAATACCTGTGTGACCACTTTCAACTGGTTCTCGACTGAGAATCCATGGTCGGCCATGGCCGTGGCTGGGTCCGGCGGGTATGGTAGCGCCGTAACGCTGCCATGCCAGACGGACGTATGATGCCGCTTTCTGCGCCGCTTTCTGCACTGCACTTCTTTCTTGCATCCAATCCCGCCTAGATGGACCGACCAGATCACTCTACCCCGGTTTTCTCATCCGACCAGACTCCCAAAAGCTGGCGTTTCTTAAAACTCGTCTACCTCCATCTTTCGCGTGTGCGACCAGCCATCGTTTCTGTCCCTCTTCCACCTCCTTGCTTCACCAGTGTCCCTGACAGCCGTCCTGTCTGATCATCAAACAACCTTCATGCGACGGGGGCAATAGAGCACAGATCCCTGACGAACATCACGTACCAAAGACTCCACCACAACGCTTCACCATCCCGACTACTGCCTCATACCCCGTACCTCACCACGGTCTCCCGGCACTAGGAGAATAACTCCCACAGAGCCTCAACGCAAAGAGCTTCAGCCTTCAGATCCTACGATATCCTGGTCCACGAACATCACACACCACGCCGTCACCGCTGTCCACATTTCCTGCAACACTGACCATCACTACCTCCACCAACACCACCACCAACATCATCGCCAACGCCAACCTGACCCCTGGCTTCGCCTCTTAGTTCTGCTGGCTGGTCTATAGCAGAACCAAGACCCCTCGCGCAACAAGAAACGTCTCAATGCCGCTCGGATGCCCGCTGTCATCATAGATCAGATTGCTCGTACCTGGTTCTCTAGAGAACTCGCTCCAGCATCGAGCCAGAAACACCCGACACTGATACCCTGCCCAGCAAGCTAGCCCGGGGCCCATTCTGATACAAGCCTCAACCAGCTTTTCTGTGCGGCTCGGCGTCTTGCCCACTGGGCTGGACCAAGCCCACATCGTCCTCCACCTCTCACACAGCCAGGCACACGCCAGCATCCGCACACCCTGGTCTGGGTCTGCCACCTTCAGTCCAAGTCGTCTCATCCATCCCGACTCTCTCGTCTCAATATAGATCTGTCGTCCTCCCCCGCCTCATTGATCGGTTGACACTTCTGGTCCTTCCTCTTGACCTTCTCTTCTTTCCTCGCCAGCGCTGCGCACTTGCCTGTCGATATCCTTCTTTTAATATCGACACTCTTCGGTTCGAACGCCTTCACTTCTTTCTTCAACCCGCAGGTCCGGTACCTATTCCTTTCCTTTCGCCGTTGCACGGTTTGCCTTTCGACCTAGTCGCCTTTTACACCACTACCCGTTTTATTCCACGAGAGGGCTCCGATCTCGACGACCGCTTCCTTCGTTCCTTTCATTCACTGGTTCAACGGGTTTATTTGGGAAAAGAGGACGGACACAGCAGGGTCGCAATACAGGTCACCAACGCAACAGGCAAAAAGAGGGATCAAAGATTTCACAATACAACTGAGCAATCAGAAAGAGAGAGGAAAAGAAGGCTCCACGAAAAGTCTACAACATTATTTAATCGAGAAAGATGGGTCGTCTTATTAAGAACCATTGGGCTCGGCTCATCGTTATGAGCGCGGCAGCTTGTAAGTTGGATCTCTCTCATGAGGGCCAAAGCACCTTCAATACTAACCTTTTGCGAACAGACCAGTTTGCCGCTGCTCTCGAGGGCTTCTTCTGGCCCAAGATCTTCTGGGACTTCTTGACCAAAACGCTGGATCCAGCTGTCAAGCCCGTGCCGGTGTTACAAATCATCAATCTCCTCATGGCGCTGTTCATGGTGGCCCTGGAGTGGCCTTTAGGATTCATCGCCGGCTCGGCAATCCACCGCAGTCTCGAGTTCCGCCTCATCATCCTCCCTCTCACCACCCTCGCCGCCGCCCTCATCTACCAGGGCACCAACTCTGCTCTCTACTACATTGTCGGGTTGGTTGTTTACTTCTGGGCTTACAGCGAAGGAGAGGTACGCTTGCATGAATTCTACACCTCATCATACACTTTACTGACTTTCGTATCCAGATCATTTGCGCTAAGCCCTGGACCCTTCCTCAAAGAGGCCGCAATGGCTCTCGCGTATAGACTGCACTCGCCCCTCCTTCGCCACGGTTACAATCGTCTCGACCTCGCACGGTACACTTATCTACCTGTCAGAGAGACTCCCGTATACCCCATGGCGAGCAAGTCCAAGCAAACTCGGAAGAATCGACGAAACCTCACCGTTCTTTCCCTGAGCTATCATGACAACTTGTTTACTACTTTTTCCTTTCATGTTTATAACGATCCCAATCGATATCACGGCATCCAGCATCGGCGTTCTTCCTGACGACAAAGGGTTACATGATTCTTCCTCAACTCTCGGTTACAGCGGCTCGATAACGGTATAACCTTATTCAGCCTTTTTCCTCTTCAAGTCATCTCAGCGTGGGCATACTTTCTCGTGGCAGTTGTGGTGGTGGTGGTGTGGGTGGGTGGATGCGGTCGTCGTTCGTCCTGTTTCGCATCGGCTTACCATGGACTTGCACACAGTGGGTGGCGCGTTGACCGGGGCATGGGTCAGTTGGGGGCAGCCGCAGGACCAGAGACAGGAGACTCCTTGGCACCTCGCTTTTGGAGCATGCAACCTCCCATGTTCTGGAGGGTGGATTGTATCATCCCGAAGCTCGGCTCAACAATATATTGGGATGCGGGGATTCTGGTTCTCGGGGATGGGATGAGAAGAGAGAGAGAACGGACGCTGGAGAGAGAGAGATTCTGCCAGGAATAGCCGCCGCCCAAGAAAAACGCTGTCAAGAGACGTGGCCTTGGTCTATAGAGACCGAAGCAACCAATGCTACACCTAATATCAAGACAAGAAATTTCCAATGAAAAAAAAACACCAGATCCAAGAATGAGTCCCACAACGTGAGCCCTTCTATTGTCTACCATCAACCCTTCACCCTCCCATCATCATCGACTGACACGATGTGACGGCAATCTCGGCAAACAAGCTTAACGTCCGGTGACATATGGCATACTACGACATGGGGTTCATCCCTCTCAGATTACCTCTCGGGACTGACCAACTCAGCAAAAAGTCAAGTGGAAGATTTTGAAAACATAGTTGCCGTTGACCCGTAATGGTCTCGTGGGCTCTTGGCGCCCTTTTCCATTCTCTCTTTCGCACTTAGACTTTTCCTTCGCAGCCAAGGGAACCGATGGTTGACGGGAGTCTCAAGGGTTTCTTTCTTCGTCAATTTATTTTAAATTTTTCTTTTTTTGCTTTCCATCAAACCTTCTGAAAAAGGGGTGTGTGTTGATGACCTCAAAGTATGTAATCAGTGACACCACACACACACACACACACACACACACACACATACACAGCAACATACAACGTCCCCCCGACGAAAAAAGAGAAGAGAAAAACACCCCTTTCAGAGTTTGAGGCGCGTGGAGGCAACGGCGACAGGCGAGGAAGGGGGCGGCTACGCAGGGGTCGGGGGGCCAAGGCACCGCAGCGGCTCCCCGAAACACTTTAGAAACGGGCGCGCACCACATCACGAGTTCCACGAGAGAAAGAGAGAAGAAAAAACCCACGACCCAACAGGAACCACTAACGACGCAAGGTCCAGCACGATTAACAGCACAGCTGGACAAGCTAACGGGGGGGCCGCCGTCGCTGGCCCCCAAACGACTCGTATCTCCACTTTTCGGACAGCCTTGCACATATTCGAATACATTAAGACCATCTTTATATAGACCAGGTGTCTTGCCCGTTCCTGGCGGCTCAATTTACATGAAGTAAGCCTGACCAAGCCGTCGGAAAGAGCTTCTTTTGATCAATCGCCCGGTCGGTCAACCATATCGCAAAAGCTTGCTCTATAGCCAGTCTGCCTGGCCAGTTTTCGGATTTGACGGCATGACTAACTTACTACCCAAGCTTCTTGCATTTCGTGTATTGCAATAATTTTCTCCGCTCGTACTACTTTCGTCGCATATGGATCAAACTCCCCTTAGATGTGCAAACATCAAAACCGTTCATTAGCATCAGGTGCAGGCAAGGGCAAAATTGATGGAGAGAAGTCATGTGCTCATATTCAGCTATTCGCTAAGTAAACCCATGCAATCGACCCCATGCTTGACCATGGCGTCGATGTTGAACCCTTGTCGGGCTCGAAGGAGATTTTTCAAGGTTATCACACCTTGTACATCATCCTCCGTTGCATGTAAATTGGTTGATGGGAATGCGATTAATGTTCCCCTTCAAGACATCTTCTTTCGGATTGTCGTTGTTAGGCATGCTCCGTCGAGCGTAATGCCTCGCTGCCATCGCTGCACACACCACCCCAAACCTCAACGCCTCAAAACAGAAACGCCCGCCTTTGACCGCAGCTACGTCGAGCGCCAGGGAATCGCCGGGTTCGGCTCGCATTGGGCCTCAACCTTCTGTAAGGTGTTGGCCGAGCTGATGCGACAATGCCGCCCCTCACGTCTAGCCTCACGCGACTGCGGGAGTTGGAAGACCTCTAGTGGGCAACCATGCCGCCCTGGGAATCGTTCTTGGGACCCTGGCGGTCGGGGAACTGTTTACATCATTGTCAGTGGATTGCACTTGAGGGGGTGTGTCCAACGTATGACTTACCTCGACGTTCTGGGTGTCACCCTTCTCAAGGATTTGCTTGATCACCTCGTCGTCGACGCTGGTACCAAACTCGTTCTCAAGTGTGGACTTGGAAGCGGCATCGTACTGGCCCTGTGCACCTTGCCTAATTCATTGAGTTAGCTGCTGTGCGTAACGTGTGGACATGCGGGGTAGGCCATGTAGGTGTCGGTGGCATGTTTGGAAGCAAACAATTGGAGGCCCGAACGCTCCCCCGCCCTGCCATAGGCCGAAGCCATTGCAATGGCAGACCGCAAATCCAATTGGGCCAAAGAGGGTGAATAGACAGCCAGATGAAGCACTGGTGATGGAAAGGCAGAGGTAGGAAGAAGGCAAAGTTGCAGCTTACTTGTGCGTGACGAAGATCTTGTATGAGGAAACGAAGTGTGCCAGAGGAACAGACTTGTCGGTCTTCCACTTCTTGTAGAGCTCGGGGTCCTCAACGAAGATGATGAAGTCGTCCTCCTGGCCCTTGAAGTGGACCTTGGTCTGGGAAGCCTCGCCGCGAACCATTTTGACTGTTGTGGTGGTGGTGGTGTATAGAAATGTAGTGTGTTTTGGTAAGTGATTGAATGATGAACTCTCGATGGAGGTCTTGTAAATTTGACAGGAATGTGCGTGTAAGACGAAAGTCGTCGGGTATCTCAGGGTGTTTTTGTTTAGTTGATTGATCTGAAGAGGAGAAGACAGACGGGAGCCCAAGGTACGCCGCAGCCTTTTAATATGAGGAAAAGCTGAGGAGGGGGAGGAGCTTCCCCCAGCTACGCTAGGAGGAGAGGGCGGGAGCTGGGAAGCTCGTGATTTGGAAGGTACGTCATAGGTGCGGGAACACGCGACTGCCTTTCATCACTGCCCCGCCATTGGGGAGCTTGCCCAGGCAGGGAGCGGGGCAGCTATGTGCTCCGTGCATCGCCCAGCTGGTCCAGGCACGTCGCCAAACTCGCCCATTAGGTACCGGGAACTCTGAGCGTTCCTGCATCGCACCACTGTAGTACGTCACCGCTAATCTCAGACCAAGGAAAGTAGGCCAAAGGGGTGTTTACACGTTGCGACAAATTGCGGCTGGAATGATCCAGATGGGGAAGGAAACGTTTGGCGCAAAGTACGGAGTACCTACCTTACTTATTGTGTACCTTGCCATGACCTTCCTCGCAGCGCAAACTGAGCCGCCCTTGATGTCCCGAGGTACCTTACATCAATGCAAGTCACATCACTGGCCAGGGCAGCTCTGCCATGGTGGGGCTCACTACGGGAGCTCAACATCCACTTTCCCAAGAAGGTCCAAACATGGAGACGGACGTCCGCAGAATGAGGCATTACCAGGAGTCAAACCTCACGATGGCATCACTGACATCATCCGGTGTAACTTTGAGAGTGCGTAGCTTATTGTGGTGGGTAATGAGCAATCTAACGCAGGGGTATCATTATACTCTCGTCAACTCGACGACAAAAACAATCGAAACTAAGAATAGCTCCATATGAACTCAGTGCTTTTCCCCTCTTCAGAGTTTCTCAATGAATATAGCCAATGGGCGTAACATAGTGACGTGCACCTCCATCTTTCGCATCCAATTCCAGTCAATCTGTCATGATTCATCCATTGAAGCCGACTAAAGGCCAAAAAGGCTGCGGCTGGTCTTCATCGAAAGAAGCTTCGGATGCCCTGGACCAAATCGTCTCTGTTCAATGTGCCAACCTTGCCCCAGCGCATCGATGCCTTGTGGGACAGCTTGGGCCCTTTTGGTGCTCGATGTTGATGCTCCCGGTAGACACCTCTCTCGGAAGGACAGGGTGATTTTCTGTCGGAAATCTGGTCTCGACGCACTCTCGGCAAGTTGTTTCCTGACGCAGTGCGCAAAATGGATGGTCTCGATGTATACGCGTCCCCAGAGTAGATGTGTTCCAGCCGCAATTGTTCGACTGGATCTGCATGAACAAGAATCTTGGCCGGATTCAACATCGGGGTCGCCGGAGCGCTAACCGTGCTTATAACCTCGACATCGTCGTCGATTTTGGGCAAACAAGTCTTTGTTGTTTCACCAGCTTCGTCGTCGAGACCGTGTCCAATATTCGGACTCTCCTCTTCGCAGAGCTTGGAGGCATGTCCGTGATGCGCGTTTTCTTGCTTCTCTCCCGCATTCTCGTCGGGGATGAGCTTCCCCATGCTTGCAACACTGTTGGACCTCTTTGCAAAAGAGCTGGCGATGCTTGCAACGCTGAGCTTCCGCATCATTGTACTAGCAGAACTTCGAACCAAGTGTTCAGAGCGAGATCTACCAGTCATACCAGGGAACGGGAGGATATCTCGGCTCCAGATATCAGACATGAGAGCTTCAAGCCGAGCTCTCTCGCCTCGTGGGGGTGCCAGAATTGGAATGCGAGGGTTCGTTGTGAGCAGTGATTGCGAGCGATTGATAGATGTAGTGGATGCGGCATCTGAATTGTCTCGCATAACACTAGTATTCTTCAAAATGACCTGACACAAGGGCGATTTTGGGCCAACTGTGGTGGCGCGATGAATCGATATCCGACGGGCAACAGTGCCTGGGCAGCTATCAATAACTTGGACCGAAGACTTTTGAAGGAACTGGACAAACCTGGTTTTCTAAACACCGTACCGAGACTCTTCATGTTCAAAGACATTGAGCTGTACAGATTAGGGTCGATCTGCTCTTGCTCTCCCGTTCTGGCAACCGACAACCGGCTTCGCCATTCTTCTTGCTCTCGAGGCGAACAGGCAGTCATGAGTATCTCGTATAGCTGGGAATCGCACTCGAAAACAAGTTTCCATGAGAATGGAGCTGTATGACATTGAAGACCTTAGTACTATTAGCAGAGATACTCGGGGACTTGTGTGGGAACGTCACAAACCTCTCCCATTATCCGTCTCGTCGATTTTGATGCTGGCCAGGTTGATACATGCTTGGATAGTGTAGATCTGGTCCACTTTGCTGGCTGAAGCTAGACAAAAGACATTGTGATAGAGGAGACAAGTCATGTACTGTCCTTTTGCGCCGTCTTTTGTTTGCCAGCAAACATGCAGTGCACCGCAAAGCTCAACATGGCCAAAGGACCTGATCCGGTTTTTCGACGCCGCATCAAGTTTCTTCCCAAAACCGTTAGTTTAAGTCCGTGAGCGCTTTGTGCTACTAACTTACTTGCTCCGGGAAAACCAGTCTGTCTTGAAGAACCCAAGTTCTTTCCAGGGTGGATTTCATTCGCCTGTCGTTCGTCGCTCGATTGATCTCAGCTGTGGCCTCTCGCAGTCGCAAAAGAGCGCTTTCAACCTCCATGTGGGAGTTTGGACAGTCTGCCACAGGTGTGTGCTTCAGAAGTTCGGCAAAAAGCAGAGGATACTTGCAGATCCGCTGGATTGGCTAAAGGTTCATCAGCACCACGTCTGGACCCGATTGGAGCACGTTGCTGACCTTGACAAGGAGATCTCCAATAGTCAGTGACTTCTTTGCCTGGTCGGCATGGCTGTTCGCAGAGCCCAACGAGGAAGCGAGTGTCTCAATGCCTCTCTGATACGTGTCCCATTGCGGCATAGTCCGATGAGCTGAAGCAACATCCTTGATCATCATCTCATACTTTGCGCCGTATTCCTCGTAAATGAAGAAGCGGTTCATCTGCAAAACAGGTCAGCAATGACGGTCAGTCGTGGTGATATATGGACTCGAGCAATTACCTTTCTACTGAACACCTTTGCTACATCTCCAGCAACCTGTGCTTCAGATATCATACCAGGTACTTCTTGAAGCCAGCTTATGGCCCTGTCGTCGTCTTCTGGCACAGAATCGAGACTCCTCATTCGCTGATGTCCACGGCTAGGGGGCTTTCTGGGCAACGACGGGATCTCCATTTGGGTGTACTCTGAGTCCGGAACAGCGCGGTGCAACTCGCCCAGTAGCTCTTCATGGAGTTCAACGATATCTGTGAGATTACGGTTGATCGAGGACCTAAGCCCTGGAGGTAGAGTAGGTAGGGAAGCGAGAATTGTAATGTAAACCTATCAAAATTAGTTCTCTCTACGTTCGTGACCATTGCGTTGAACAGCATCGGTGACCTACATTCATCAGAAAGCGGACGTCCGCAATATACCCTTCCTCAGTGCTGATGAGTTCCTCCAAGATGCGTCTACGCTGCAAAGCGCGTTCGGTTGCCAATGGGTCAACCTGAGCTGGCCACTCGGCATTACAACTGTCCTCTGAAAATCTGGTCGCGGTAAAAGAACCTCTGCTGCTGCGCTCGGTTTTGGAATAGGCCAGCGAGCGGCGGCTGTTGCCTCGAGGGCGTGTGATAGCACTGCCGCTAGCAAGACTGACACTAGCACTTTTCACCGCAGCGACAAATCCGAATGATGAACCTGATGATGATCTCCTATGGCGAGTTCTCCGAGAAAGCGCTGACCTATCAGCCGAATCTAGGAGCTTCCAGGGTAGTGCACCGTCTCCATTCATAGGCTGTGCTCGCTGCTTGGCGCGTCGATGGAGAGTTCTCATCCATTTGTGAAATGGACCTCGTCTGGAGGACGTGTCCGAGCCCGAATGCTCATGATCGTCGTCGTTGCTGCTATCAACTGAGACCCGAGGGAATGGAATGAGATCGTCATGGGAGTCGCCGTTGTTGGGCTCTAATCCTAAAACAGCCATGCTGCTCAAAGTATTCCAAGCCTCGACACCGTTGATGTGCAGACCGTCGAGACTGGATGAAAGGTCGACATTTTCAAAAACCTCGTCAGACTTGATGGAATCTTGCTGTGACCCGGGCGATGGGGGATACGATGTGACGCAATCTGTCTTACGGGTGATTCGGACGGAGCTGGGGCGAGAGCAAGATCCAAGAGATGCAGAGTCTGGTGGTGGTGGTGGTGGTGGTGGTGGCCATGCCATTGCGACGTCCAAGAAAGAAGAGGTAAGACTGGGTTCCAAGACACCAAAAAAAGGAAGCAATAGCGGTTCCAAGAGGTTTCAAAACATGATGTATGGTATCAACACCAAGAGATGAATGATGCAAATTTGCTGGGACTGCCAGCTGTGGGAAGCTCGAGAGGGTTGAGGCAGAAGGGGATGATGTCCAGTGGACGGTGTGGAATTTCTTAGTCCAGGCACGGGAGGAAAGCCAGCGTGGGTCACTAGAACGAAGGAGGGAAGGAGGATTTCGAGGCTGGAAAGCTCTTTCAAGACGAATGACGAGGAGGGCCCGAGGAAGGAGGAAAGGAGGAGCAGGCACGGCACTCTAGACATACACCATAGAATATGTAAGGAAAGCGGACTGTTGGCCGAAGGGACGACTCCGGCCGAACCACGGAGCTCGAACTCAACATTCATCGTTCTTCCTATGCCGGCCTCTACATGCCGACGACGATCAAGCTCTACATACGGTAGCTCAGTTCTCGTGAGAAGTCACGGCGTGGTACGGAGCTGCGGTGGACAGTCGCACCCGGCGAATCTACCAACGAGCCGGTCGGGAGGAATGCAGCTGCGACATGCAGCCTGCCCGCCGGGCCAGAGAACGCGTCTCTAGTGTGCATTGTTGTCGGGTCAAGATCCGTGGATCTTGCGTCTTGGACGCGAATTGGGTGCCATCGTAGCACACAGTCTGCCGGAAGATGAAGCTGCCGCCGGTTCGGAGTTACTGCTGAAGCTCGATGCAGACTTTGGTTCAGCATGGTGTGTCCGAGGGTGAAAACTCAACATTGCAGTGACGGGCCGCGGCCCATCAGCGCCATGAGCGCCATGTCTTGATGCGCGGCGTAGCGAGCGGGAGACAAAGAAACCTCTTCGCCAGTCTAGTGATTTAGTCGTCCATTGATCTGGACCGAACATTTGGTCTCGCCGCCCACCACACGAGTCTCGGTGGCTTGACGGTACGGGTTATCCATATCGTTCGACTATGAGTGTTTGGCGGGACTGCATGGAAGACGTGATCTCGATACCCCGAGACTCCAAAGTGGGTGTCAGTCGCCTCCATGACCCACGTCTTCGTCCTGCCTTACGCAAGACATGCGGACGATGTGGATGCAATGGTTGCAGGCCGTTTTCCGTACGTTGGCGGCGTTCCTCAACCCTGACTCGGGCTCGGCGCGCGCGCCCCAAGTGGCTCCGGAGCGGCCTAGTGCTGGTCCACTCGAGACGGGGACGGCGGGCCTCAATCGGAAAGGGAACCTTTAGCCAGTCACGTGTAGAGGTGATTATGTCATTACGGGGGACTTCTACCACCCGTGCCACTCAGGCACAGCACGGTACGAAACGCAGGCACACCAGACACTCCCGATAAACGGTTAGTCAGCACTGTAGTCGCACCAGTGTGTAAGCTTATCAGGTCAGCTAGGCGGGTACGTACTCCGTATCGTTTCCAGGCTGCCAGGTTCTTGTCAAAGAGCTCCCCTTTCCCCCTCCACTCTGCCCTACGCTCCGGATTATCGGCTTCCGTATAGTGGTTCTAATTGGTCCCTGCCCCACGTTTTCCTGCGTCGGGGCCGCAGTGGCTGGTCCCCGATATGGACAGATACGGGCCAGTTTGCCAGGGACGCACAGGTGAATTGCTGGGACCTTGGGAGTCTTGTTTCTTGTTACAGGGGCTCCCCCACCAGCGCTAGCCCCAAAAGGACAAGCTCGGGATCTTTCCTCGACGGCCAAAAAAAAGGTTCCAGAAGGGGCAGCTATCCGTTCCGCACTGTTACTGCTAGGCAAACACTGAACGAACACGTAGAGCGTATTGGAATCCCAGTGGGAGTTCGGCGACGATTTCAGCTTCCTGCCCCACCGCAACGGCAATAAGATACGCTGTCTGTTTGATCGCAACTTTTCCAGCACCTTCTTCTTTTTCTCCTTTACATCCTTAGCCTTTTCTTCCACAAGGTTCGGATCTCGATTTTCCCTTTCTCTCTTCAACACCACTTGAAGAGTTCCTTCGTGTCCACCGTTTCCCCATTCGACAACAGACTCCGACGGCCGCTGCAACTCGGCTAGATAGTGACGGTTCCTCGACAAGACAAGTCCCGCGCGCAGCGCAGCTTTCGCGATGGAGAGCGCATTCGCTTCACCCACCGAAAAGGTCCTCTCAACCCTGGGAGTGAACCCCAAGACCGGCCTTACTGATGATCAAGTCATTGCCTCGCGTACCAAGCATGGCAAGAATGGTAAGTAGCTTTGCGACTCGACCCGAAACCCACGATAGTTTCGTGCTAACAGTCCGTCCACAGTCATCCCCGAAGAACCTCCGACGCCCATCTGGGAGCTCATTCTCGAGCAATTCAAGGACCAACTCGTCATAATCCTCCTCGGCTCTGCCGCTGTTTCTTTCGTTCTGGCGCTCTTCGACAACGAGGAAGGCTGGAGCGCCTTCGTCGACCCAGCTGTGGTACGTAATCTTGGATGCGAATACCCACAATGCCCAGACTTTGCCCGGCTAACAATGCCGATTTACAGATTCTGACCATTCTCATCCTCAACGCCGTCGTCGGTGTCTCACAAGAGAGCAGCGCCGAGAAAGCCATCGCCGCCCTGCAGGAGTACTCTGCCAACTCTGCCAACGTCATCCGTAACGGCCAAGTCTCCCGTGTCAAGGCTGAGGAGCTCGTCCCCGGTGATGTCGTCTCCGTCCACATTGGTGATCGCATTCCGGCCGACTGCCGTATCATTGCCATCGAGAGCAACAGCTTCAACGTCGACCAGGCTATCTTGACTGGAGAGAGCGAGAGTGTTGGCAAGGACTGCGATCATGTTGTCAAGGACGAGAAGGCTGTGTTGCAGGACCAGACCAACATGTTGTTCTCTGGAACCACTGTTGTTACTGGTCGCGCAAAGGCTGTCGTTGTCTTGACTGGTTCCCAAACCGCTATTGGCGATATTCACGAGAGTATCACCGCCCAGATCTCCGAGCCCACTCCTCTTAAGCAGAAGCTCAACGACTTCGGCGACAGTCTCGCAAAGGTTATCACGGTCATTTGCATCCTCGTCTGGCTCATCAACATCCCTCACTTCAGCGACCCCAGCCACGGATCCTTTACCAAGGGTGCCATCTACTACTTGAAGATCGCCGTGTCTCTCGGTGTTGCCGCTATTCCCGAAGGTCTCGCCGTTGTCATTACTACCTGCTTGGCTCTTGGAACTCGCAAGATGGCTGCAAAGAATGCCGTTGTCAGAAGCTTGCCGTCCGTTGAGACCCTCGGAAGCTGCAGCGTCATTTGCTCCGACAAGACCGGTACCCTCACCACCAACCAGATGAGTGTCAGCAAGCTTGTCTACATCAGCGAGAACGGATCAGACCTCGTTGAACACGATGTCGAAGGCACCACATTTGCCCCCAAGGGTTCTATCTCTCTCAGAGGCCAGACGGTCACCGATCTCACGCGTTCTTCTGCTACTGTCCGCCAGATGACTGAGGTTGCCGCCGTGTGCAACGATTCCAAGCTCGCCTACGATGCGGCCAAGGGAACCTTCTCCAACGTCGGTGAGCCCACTGAGGGCGCTCTGAGAGTTCTTGTTGAGAAGCTTGGACCGTGTGCGCCTTCCAACAGCAACCCCGAGGACTGTCTTCACTACGCTAGCTCTCAGTATGAGAGCCAGCTCCCCCGTCTGTCTACCTATGAATTCTCCAGAGATCGTAAGAGCATGTCCGTCCTTGTTCAGAATGGCCAAGAGAAGAAGCTCCTGGTGAAGGGTGCTCCTGAGTCTGTCCTCGAACGCTGCACTCACACTCTTGTTGGGGCCAACGGAAAGCGTCAGCCCCTGAACAGCAAGCTCGCCGATTTGATCGCCAAGGAAGTTGTCGACTACGGTAACCGTGGTCTCCGTGTCATCGCCCTCGCCAGCGTCGACAACATTGGTGAGAACCCCGCCTTGAAGTCAGCCAAGTCTACCGCACAGTACGCCCAGATTGAGCAGAACATGACCTTCCTCGGATTGGTTGGTATGCTTGACCCTCCTCGTCCGGAAGTTGCGGCTTCCATCCGCCACTGCAAGAACGCCGGAATTCGTGTCATTGTCATCACTGGAGACAACCGCAACACCGCTGAGAGCATTTGCCGACAGATTGGAGTCTTTGACGAGTATGAAGACCTCAAGGGCAAGAGTTTCACTGGCAGAGAGTTTGAGAACCTAAGCGACAGCGAGGCAAACGAAGCTGCCAGAAACGCATCCCTCTTCTCCCGTGTCGAGCCCAGCCACAAGTCCAAGCTTGTCGACCTTCTCCAGCAACAGGGAGAGGTCGTCGCCATGACTGGCGATGGTGTAAACGACGCTCCCGCTCTCAAGAAGGCTGATATCGGTGTCGCCATGGGCTCCGGCACCGATGTCTCCAAGCTCGCCGCCGACATGGTTCTCGCCGATGACAACTTTGCTACTATTGAAGTCGCTATTGAGGAGGGTCGTTCCATCTACAACAACACCCAGCAGTTCATCCGCTACCTGATCTCGTCCAACATTGGTGAGGTTGTCTCCATCTTCCTCACTGCTGCTCTCGGTATGCCGGAGGCTTTGATCCCCGTCCAGCTCCTCTGGGTCAACTTGGTCACCGACGGTCTTCCCGCCACCGCTCTTTCGTTCAACCCTCCTGACCACGACATTATGAAGCGCCAGCCCAGAAAGCGCGACGAGCCTCTCATCGGCGGTTGGTTGTTCTTCCGCTACCTGGTCATTGGTACTTACGTTGGTGTTGCGACTGTCGCTGGCTATGCTTGGTGGTTCATGTACAACCCCGAGGGTCCTCAGATCAGCTTCTACCACCTTTCCCGTTTCCACCGCTGCTCTGCAGACTTCCCCGAGATTGGCTGCCAGATGTTCTCCAACAGCTCCGCCAAGTCCGCCTCGACCGTCTCGCTCTCCATTCTGGTCGTCATCGAGATGTTCAACGCCATGAACGCGCTGTCCTCGAGCGAGTCTCTGCTGTCCCTGCCTCTTTGGGCTAACATGAAGCTTGTCTATGCCATTACTCTTTCAATGGCTCTTCACTTCGCCCTGCTCTACACTCCTTTCCTCCAGAACCTGTTCTCCATCCTTCCCTTGAACTGGTTGGAGTGGAAGGCGGTCTTGTACATCAGCGCCCCTGTTATGTAAGTTGACCATGATTCTCGCTCGCTCGTCTACTGTTGCTGACTCTGTCCTTTTTAGTCTCATTGATGAGGTCCTCAAGGCTATTGAGAGATCGTACTTCAGTCAGAAGAAGGCGATCAAGTCTACCAAGGCAAAGAAGGAGAATTAGATGGTTAGAGGCCAGCCCAAAGCTAGACCATAGATCACTTGTACCATAGTAGTAGCCCTGGCAACATTGCACAGAGCTGTACATAGACCACAGCAGCCAACGTTCAGGCATTAAAGTCACAAATAAGGACGTAAATCAAGGTCATTTGTCTAGTTCATGCAGGCTTCGGCAGCCATCTCATAGTGGATCGCGTCCATCTATTGGTACAAGCTAGGTAGAACCCGTCCACTTGTAGCGGTTCTATCAAGTTTTCTCTTCCTCAACACCGAATTCCTCCGCAAGAATTAGTCTTGTCTGCCCTTGAGCAGTCTCTTGGTGACCTTGTCCTTCTCAATAATGTACACGTGCGCTCCCCATCCAGATAGTGCATCTCGGTCAACGGCGTTCAGAAGCGACTGGGAGATGGTTTCGAAGAGCTCATCAGGGCCCTGTGTGACGTCCACGTTAGTTTCTGCTAGAATCTCTGGATCATTGATTCACCATGTGCCACGTACCAGATCCGGCTCCCATAAGCTCTCGCACATGCCGAACAGCTGTTCAGACGCCGTACCAGAGACGATGAAGTCCTTGGCGAAGTCGATGCAGCCGATGCTGTCGAAGCCGCAGATGAAGGGCTTGCCCGTCTTGGGGTCAAGGCCGGCGACGACGGGGGAGACGAAGTACGGGCCGAAGCGGCGCTCGTAGAGGGAGGAGCTGACGAGGTTGGCGAAGGTGGTCGGAGCAATGTTGCGCTCCTCGCGGAGGCGGTACATGTTGACCTTGTAGCGGAAGAGGTCACCGACGGTCGTGACATCGGTGGCGAGGCCGGTGAGACCGAGGAAGACGTCGCCGTACTGGAAGATTTTGGGGAAGTTGTTGGAGACGGTGAGGGCTTGGAGGCCGAGACGGAGATCGCAGGCTATTGCGACACAGTCCTTGCCGACCATTGCGACGCAGGCACCGCCATCTGTGAGGGGGAGGAGGTTAGGAATTGGTGATTCGATAGAGAGGCGATAGGGCCTAGATGGGGGTCAAGAGGAAGACAAACTGATGGAGAAGGGAGAGCTCTGGACTTTTGGTTAGCTGGAGGGGGTTTCCTTTTGCATCTCGAGGCTGAGGAGGGGAGGGGGAATGACGGAAGCGTACCATTTCGGGCTCTTAAAGCGAGTGACCGCTGGGTTCTGGTATGATTTGAGAGATTCTCAAGGTTGTGATTTCGGCCGTGATTACTTCGTGATGAATCGTAGGGTCGGCCGTGGTGGGCGTCGTCGTCGTAGATGGGGAGTTCGTTTGGTGGTGATGGTGGTGGTTGTAGCTGCAATTGACGTTGAACCGATGCGGAATGCTGAGGTGTAGCGCTACCTGCCTGCTCTTGCTGGGTGCTGGGTGCTACTGCAGGGCAAGGCAAACACGCATGGCGCGGCCGAAGCGGTCGGAAAATCCACGTACAGCAAGCTGGAGCTCGCTGATTGGCCTGAGCTTGGCTTCGGCAGCTTTCAGCGTGGTGGTGCTCGATGATGCACGTCCCAGCTCCCCTCCCCGGCCAGGGCCCGGCTCCCGTCGCCTCTGCTGACGGAGCACCCCGACTGCCTGCCCCCCAGCCTTACGTACCTCGCTGAATTACCTGTACCTGAGTAAGACTCATTCACCTTGGCGATTCAACTCAGACACGAATGTTTACTGCCCGTAGCTTCTTACTTCTATTATTACCTATACAAAAGGTGTTACTTTAGACCGGCTGAAAAGTCCAGTATACACTTGTCCCGGACACCAGGCCGAAGTGGACTTCCTGACATTGTGTTTCGTCGTCCTTCCGCCAACTTCTACTTAACTAATACACCACCACCTGAGCTTGACGCAACGCCCGCCCCCCGCCGAGACTTGAACCCCGCCAACAACATATTGAACACGATACCCCGGATCAGATATCAATCTTAACCGAACAGCAACTTCACTGCGACTGAATACCCTTTTTGTTGAAAAGAATAAGACACTGCGTTTCCGTCCACGGCATTTCTCAGTTGCTACGATGTCGCACGTGGTGGTCATCGGTACGGATTTGCGGAGAGCTACCGTCAAGGTCAGCCCAGGCACCTACATGACAGATGTTCTCCAAGAGGCATGCAAGAAGCTCAACGTCTCGAGCGATAAATACCTCTTGAAGTACCTTACTCATTCTAAAGACATTCCCTCCTCGCAATAAGCTAACCATCTGCTAGGCACAAGCAGAAGACAGTCGACCTCTCAGTAGTCTGGCGAGTGAGCGGTCTCACCCCCGGCGCCAAACTCGAACTCGTCCAGAAGTCCAAAACACCATCAGCCGTTTCCGTCGCACTCCAGTTGCCGATGCCCGAAGCCAATTCGGCGCCCAACGGTCGTTTAATTGAGAAACTACCGAGCGACTTTACGATATGGAAGGTACTGCGCCAGTTTGAGAGCGGCGTCGCTGGGAACGGGAAGAACTTCAATATCACAGCACGAGGCGTTGCGCAAACAACAAGCGGAGGCGCGAGTGGAAGCGGTCAGATGTACTACGAGACGCCAGTCCTGAACATCATGGGTCGGGAGCTTTCCACATTTGAGGACTTCCAGAAGACACTGTCGCAACTTGGGTACAATTCGGGCAGCGTTCTGATCCGCTTGTCGTTCAAAAAGACGGAACGCACGCTGTTCCAGGCTATGGAGGAAATCAGTCAATTCTTTTCTGAGGTTGAGGCAGAGGAGAAGAAAGCGGCCCCGGCTCCAGTTCCAACGCCCGCCACGGAGGGAACAGAATCTGCAGCAGCTGAAACTGTCATCGAGACGCCAAAGGGCACAACGACTCGACAGACAGGCGATATTCCAACGCAAGAACAAGCAGATCAGGAGGCGCCGGCAGCAGATGCCATGGAGGCTGATCAAGCAGAGCCGACAGACCCTTTGCAGCCTGTCAGTGTCTTCCGGGCTCCAAGCGGAACCACTCCCGCAGCAGCCCTTGCAGACGTGCCAGAGGATGACTACGCCCCGACGATTGCCCACGCCCAGCTTCATCAGGCTCGACTCCAGCAGAGCGCGCTCAACAGGAGACTTCCGTCCGACAAGGAGCTGGAGGCGCAAAGACAGGCTGAGGAAGCCCGCCTAGCGGCTGTCACCACAGTTCCGATGAAGGTGCGGTTTCCCGACAACACTTCAGCGCAATGGACATTTGGCCATGAAGCTACAGGGGCGACCCTCTACCAGGGCGTGAGATCTGTCATGGCACACTACACCCAACCCTTTAAGTTGGTCATACCCGGCAGCAAGGTCATAATTAAGGATGACGAGAGCGCAAAGAACCGCTTGATCCACGACTACAAGCTCACACGTAGTGTGTTACTGAGTCTGGTCTGGGATGACAGCGTGCCAGTAGATATCCGCAAGAAGCCCTTCCTCAAGGGTAGCGTCGCTCAAAAGGCCCAGGATGTCACAGTACCGGACATTCCCAAAGGCGACGACACGAATGAGGAGCAGACTAATGCTTCTTCGTCGAAACCTGAGAAGAGGGAGGGAAGCGGGGATGGCAGCGTTGCGAAGAAACTTCCCAAGTGGCTCAAGCTGCCTGGAAAGAAATAGACGGATGGTCCTTTGTACAATGTTGCAGCATTGCTCGGCCATTTTCGCATGGCGAGCGTATTCATGCATTTGGAGTTTCATGGGGCATAGGGTAAACCAGATAGACTATGGTCAAGTCGTCAATCAGAGCCTTCACGAGAGTATATGATCACTCCAGAGCGAACGATACATTAAACAGTATCAAAGTAAAGAGTATGAGGCCGCAATGGGTTGTGCTTGAAATTTTGGTATTTGTCGTGAAGGCATCATCATTCCATGATGATACGGGGGAGTTCCGTCGATTTGTTTTTAGAAATAGACCACAAACTTTTATGCTGTGACCACGCCCTTGACCCATATAAACCCAGTAGTTTGCCAGTCCAACACAACAACCCCGTTGCGCCCCATTTTGGTTTTGACGGATTCCTCTCGAAGGGGGGAAAATCGTTTAGTGACCGACACGGCGGGACTCGGCGATGACGCGGGTCATCTCCTCGACCTTTCTCTTGGCGCGGCCGAAGGTGCCGAGCCTCTTCTTGGCGAGCTTACGGGCGCGCTTGTCCTTGGAGTTGCGGAGCAACTCGATAACGCGGCGCTCGTAGGGGGCAAGGCTGTTGAGGAGGAAGATGGTTAGCGACTTGTTGTCTGATTTGGATGTGCTTGTGAAGTGCATCCAAGTTGATGTCGCTTGGACGAGGTTTGGAGACGGTGTGTATGGAAACTTACCCGGAGACTTCCTTGACGACGTCACGGACGAAAGCGGTGCGCTTGCTCAGGTGGCCCTTGGTGCGGGAGACACGGGGCTTGACGACACGAGCGGTGGTCTTCTATATTTCCGAAACAATCACGACCGGTCAGCGTCCATCTTCTGCAAATAAGGTCCCCTCGTGGGAAGAGAGGTGTTGTGCAGAGATCCTCCACGAGGTGAGACGAAGCGGGTGTGGGGGAAAGGGGACAGTGCCGCCGATTTCCCTTCCTGACAGAAAAGCCCATCCTTCTGTGTGTTCATTCTTCAATGTATGTATCCATCATCGAATCGTATTTCCATAATCGGAAGTTCGAAGATTTCGTTTCGCAGAATTCGGAGGGGCTTTTCTCTCAGGTCGGGACGGCGGCGGTGATGATTGCGGTGGTGGTAATGATTCGACATACGTGTCCATGGTTGAGACCGGTGATGAGACCGGTCTTGACGGGCGCTTCCTTGGCCATCTTGAATGCTGGATGACGGGTGGGTTGTCGGGTTAGTATTGTCGTGATGGTCGGAGGGGGGAAAAGCCAAAAGGACGTTTGACCACGAAAAAAAAGTTGCAATGGTGGATTGAGAATTTTCGGCGAGTGGGTTTGTGCGGTCACGTGGCCTGGGGTTTGTCAAAGGCTGCAGGTCGTTGGATTTTATGGGGGCTCCTGCAGGCCGGCCTGGGTAAGGTGGTGGAGTCCATAAGAGAGGTTGGCTGGATTATCCCGGATAGGCTCTGATTGGCTTCCATTTCTAGGATTTCTTGGGGACGAAATGCCCCAAGATGTTTTCTTTCTACGGAATTATCTCTTCCCATTGCAGCGCCTCGAACAGGCACACTTCAGTACAGAATAGAATGGTTCCCTCACGTAAATACATGTCAAGGTAGGCAGCATTGAGGGGAAATAGCAATTGTGAGTTGGTCAAGACAACGTCTTAAAATGATACGGCCGGTGGTGATGCCCATCATGGGAATGCAAGCCTCAGCATTGGTTTGACGGTTGATTCTCTACACTTCACTTCCACTTCACCGACTTTCCCATACGACCAGCTCGCCGTGTATCCGTAAAGTTCGGTTCTGGAACCAAAGGCTGCGTCCAAGCTATGTCTAGGTAACTTGACTCACTCATTGCATGCATCTCGTATCTGTACCTGAGCTCAGCCAACACGAGCCAGAGAGGATGCACTCCGGTCCTGATACCTTTGTATCTTCTTTCAACGGCCCGGCTTAGCCAGCCAGCCCAAGTGCTCACTCTGGCAGCAGAGCCGCGCATCGGGATTGTCCGTCCAAGCTTTCCTGTTCACTCCATCACTTGTTTCCCCCTTACAGTATGGGGCCATTGTCCAAGTCCCTCGAATTCCATGCCCTTCATGCGCTGAAGCCACAGCCGTACCTTAGGTACTCGAGACTCTGGAGCCCCAGCCCCCTGAGCACAGCCTCTCGTACGTCCCTTGACAGAATAGTGCCGTCCACCTGCTCCGCACATCGGGCTGAATAGCATTTGGAGAATCAAGGCAACAAGGGCAGTGGGGCAGATCTGCGTTTACCCAACTTAACCGTCGTTTGGCCGTTGGCGTCCGCTTCCAAGAAAGGGGGATCTCAGATGTGATCAACAGCCCAGGCGTGGACCAGCGCAGGATGCCATGCTGGGAAACATGAAACACGCAGGAGCCAATCAGGTCCAATAGTTCCCCTGAATAAGGACCAAAAATGCCAACCGACGGGCATCAACCTCCCACGCAGCACCGCTACTACTGCTACCATTCGTATATGCTGCATTAAGGCCACTCGTAAGTTCTCTACTAAAGTATCCTTGGAGTCCATCTTTAATGGCGGGCTGGGAATGTCCTTCTCTCCTAATATGGAGCTAAGAGGCCAACCGCCTGCACCTCAGCCATCCCGTTAACGCGGGCGGCTCGGACAATTACATCAGGATCTGCGTTTTGCTCTCGCCCTTAATGAGAGTTTAGCCATGTCATCGTAGCCACCCCTGAATAGCGGTTTCCTGCAAGGAACGGCAGAGAAGATCTGCTAGGTCTGTGATCCTGTGCTTAAATCGGGCCTTGTTAATAAAGGTTCAACTGGGAAGCAGCTGCCAGCAAGACTACTAGATTAGCATAGTCCTTGACCTCTGATCATCCCATCTTTTCAGTCTTTCCATCTCCTCCTCAACTATTCGAACGTTTATCTCTTCCTCCGACCTTGACACTCTTTGTCTTGAAAATCATAGCTACAATCCTTGGTCATACCGCGCTCGTAAATCAAAACACACGCAAGCCATGAAGCTGTCACTCCTCCTTATTGCCGCCCCCGCGGCACAGGCCGCGGTCTCATACATGTCAGCGGTTCCCGACAAGCTCATGGCCATGGTCGAGGCATCAGAAGACTGCAACCTGCCCGACGACTTCCAGATCCAAAACTTTACCGCCGAGTCAGCGGATGGCAAGACAGCGGACTCGCTCGACTTTACCTTCAACGACGACAGCACCGTTCTCAACACGCAGTGCCACCTCAACGCCTCGTCGGTACCGGTGTCCGGTGACGGGCGGACACCGAGGTACGCTTGTGACAACGCTAGTGTACAATTCATCTGGCAAAATGGCACGATCACAGTCATTGAGAAGGTTTGCCCTGGTGACGACGGGTAAGTCAACTGGTCTTCCTTCACACACAGAGCCGTGACGAGAAATCCCATGTTCAACGTGCTGACATAGCTCGCTCAGTGCCGCCGACTACGAGGCTTCCGGGACGGCCGCGGTTCCGTTGGTGTGCGACGGAGGTGCCGCGAACGGGACCGGTAACGCCGCCAGGTCACACAGGCGTGCAAGGAGGGCAGCCGTTGCATGCAAGTCCAACTCGGACGACATCCGATCGAGATTCTTCAGCATCCAGCCGGTTGGTTGAGAGGGCGGAGGAGAGTAACCATGGGATGAACGTAAAAAAGCAAACAAAAAGCGACACAATGGCAGTGTTCATGGATGATGAAACAGACATGAGTGAGCGCACGCTGAGAGGTTCTTGGGTTACAGTTACAGATGGTAGGCCCGAAACAGAACCTTTCCTGATGAGAGGAAAAGCAAAATGAGAGTTATTCGTAATGAAGACACGACAACTCCCAAATAGAACAAGCAATAGACCTAGGCTTCTATCCACTTTGCGCATGAGATGATGGAACTTGAAGTCATCCATACTTGTCCTCAACATTCAGGTCCCAAATGGTCAGCAGGACTTCAAGAGGGTGAGGAGACCCGCCCCTTTGACAGCTTTTCGCGGGGGATGACAGCCCAATCCCAGGTCCTTCCCCGGCAGCCACAGGGGAAGAGGGCCACCCAGGACCAACCGTTTGTCGGCAAGCGTCGCTTGGCCGCGCCTCTCCGCATTTTGCATGGAAGGCACGCCGTGCTTAGCACCTTCTTCACTGCCGCTTCCTTCGATTCGCTCCAGGTTTCTCTCTGCATGACGGAATGACCTCACCGCGGTCACCCTCACGAGATCAGCCCCGAGACGTCGGTATCCCGTCCAATTCTCTCCTCTCCATCCACCCTTCAGTACCCTAGGTAATACGAGTACATCGTTGAACATATGCACCATTCACCTCCATCTCAACAAAATACCTAATTTAGTAGGAACCTGCGCGGGTGCAATCGTCATCATGCGCCTTTGAAGGGTCACGCTCTGAGGCTTTCCCTGCCGTTAAACGTGGTACATTGTCGCAATCGTCACGATCATAAAACGAACCCTCAACAGCCAATTCCTACCGACGTCGCTGTCTCTCTTCAAGCTGGGCCCACCTACGTTGCTCAACCTGGACGGTCACCTCACATTGAGCAAACTGAACAATCCTCTGCGCAATGTCGAATAGCCTGCGCGAACGATCATAGCCTGCAATTTCAAAGGAACGTAGACAAGATCACCAACCCAAACGGAACAGAATGCTCCCTCCAATGCGATATCTCCTCTCCTGCTTACAGCTTGCGCCACTGGTTGGCCTAGCTTCAGCGACACCGTTTGATACCGCGCAGCCGCAGCCGCAGCAACCATTGCTATCGAGCAACGACACCAAGCATGCTGCACCCCCGTTGCCTATCTCCGTCGAGCTCTTCCGATCCCTCGAGCGCACGTCGCGCATAGTCGACATTACCTACTGCGTCGGCACCACGGGTATATCGCAGCCCTTCTCGTGCGTCTCGCGCTGCAAGGAGTTTCCCTCCTTCACGCTCGTTTCGACCTGGAACACGGGCGTCCTGCTGAGCGACAGCTGCGGCTACATTGCCGTCGACCACGGCGTTCGAAGGCCTGGCGATGAGGACAGGTTCAACGGCAAGGTCGGGGAGAAGGCTATCATCATCGCCTTTCGGGGCACCTACAGTATTTCCAACACGATTGTCGACCTAAGCACCATCCCGCAGGAATATGTACCATACCCGTCTCCCGATGACGGGGGCGAGGCACCCAATGAGCCCAAACGCCAGTGCAAAGACTGCACCGTCCATATGGGTTTCCTGACGTCGTGGCGCCAGGCGCGGAGGCTAGTCATTCCAGAGGTGAAGAAGCTGAAGCAGCAATACCCGGACTATCCCATTCACCTGGTCGGTCACAGTCTCGGTGGCGCTGTTGCCATGCTCGCATCTCTCGAGCTCAAGATCTCCCTTGGCTGGGACAATATCAAAGTCACGACCTTTGGTGAGCCCAAGGTCGGCAACCAGGGTCTTGTAGATTATGTCGACGAGGTCTTTGGTTTGAGGGGCGAAAAAGACGAGGACATCTCGAAGCGGACCTACCGTCGCGTGACCCACGCCGACGACCCAGTGCCGCTACTCCCACTTACAGAGTGGGGGTATAAGCCTCACGCCGGAGAGTTCTATATCTCCAAGGCAGAGCTGTCTCCGTCTCTCGAAGACGTCGTGGCCTGTCGCGGTGACAGCGACGCAAGCTGCATCACGAAGGCGGACGATAGCTTCTTCGGATCCAGGCTCAAAGACTTTGTCGAATTCGCTGCGAAATCGACGTTGGCACCGCCAAAAGGACTCATTGAGGAGAGCAGCAGATGGATCAAGAGGCTGCCGGGCTTCCCGGCTCGACTGAAGCTTTGGCAGCTGCTCTTTGCGCACCGGGACTATTTTTGGAGACTCGGGCTGTGTATGCCCGGCGGCGATCCGGCGAATTGGGGGAGGGACAAGTACGGAGGTGGCCATGACAGTCTGCTGTCAGAAGAGCTGTGAGCCCCGGATCAACCTGCGTGCTGTCGTATAATAAGTGTATTCAAATGTGATAGTATGGGTACGAGTACTAGTATGGCTAGAGGGGTTTTTACAAAAGCTGCGGTTGGTTGCTTGTATAGCGCTTGTATGAAACTGGCGGGCGTTTTCTTTCGGCTTTCGTTTCTGAGTAAGCTGGACATAACTTCAGAATAAGCGACACGTAAAACTCAAAAATGTCATGAATACGAAATAGTACGCTTAGCAACTCTCGACTGATATGTTTTCAGTCGTGACAAACCAGTAAAGCCTGAGTCGTTTTGCCGACCACCACCATCTACCTTACGAATCAGCATCTGCCACGGAGCCATCCATGATGGATCAGAAAGAAAAACAAAAGGCATTACTCGGTCTACGTTCCATTGGGTGGATGATGTTGTTTTGTGCTTTGTCACGCCATCAAAGTCAAGGGGCAGAAACAACAGACATTGTCTGATCTTATATGTGCCATTGTTGTATATCTCTCTTACACGTCGGAAAGAGATTTGGTCCTTTCAAAGTTGTCAAGAAAATACCGCTCTGTTGATTGTACACGGATACTTGGATAGAATACTTTCAAGGAGGGCAACAGCCGGTCACGTATAAACCGTTGGACTGACTATTATGCGAAGGCCGGGAACAGCTTGGGTTGAGTACCTAGGTAATGAGACGGCTTCGTTGGATCCTTGGGTTTGGCTTGCGCCTTGTTGGCTTGGAGTGCTTACTTAAACCTCGCGGCTATCGGCTCCTCTCCCTCGAGTCCAGCTACTGCAGTTCCCACACTTCCCAGTGTTCGTTGCTGTTGTGGGTTCCCGGGTTTTCCATGACCAGGTTGGCTTGCCCTCCGCATGAATTTCGTCCGCACCTCCGGGTTCGGGCATTCATGTCATTGTCACTTGGGATATGGCGGGGGGGTCGAGCAAAAAGAGAAGGGAAGGGATACCAGGGCGAGAGATGAGGGGTAAGAGGGAAAAGCAGCTACTCCGTACACCAGCGAGGAGGGAGCATGGCTCGCAAAAGGGGCCGTGGCATAAACTTGACGCCGACGGGTAAAGAAGCATGGCCGTGGTCGAAATCGCGTACGGATACTGGGGATCGCGGAATATTTTCTCGAGGGAGAGAGAGAACCTAAGATGCAGCCTGCAAGTGCTGCCACACCCACCGACGGCACCCGCCCAGAGGGTGCCACGCGATAAGGCGGCGACCAAGGGCCTGTTGCATGCGAGTCGCCTGTTCGACCCGACTGCATGGAGGATCCCCCCCAGGGCTGTGCTGGATGTGAGTCACCCACCCGAAAGCTACCTATGATGGCATCGAGTTGGTGTGGTGGCAGTGGTTGGCTTCGAAGTTGGGACGAGAAGGGCGGCCAAGAGATTGGGGGACCAGATTTCAGAGTGTGATACTTATCTATGTTCAGCTACAGAGAAACACTGCTTCGTCTCGCAGGCGGAGTTGAGTTGAGCGCTGTATCCGTTCATTGTGATGGCAGTATCCAAGTCGCCGTGTTTGAGGTTTCACTCGCAGGGCCTCTGGGCCTACGAGGAGACAAGCCGGGGATGGCGGATGGCACGCTGATCCAACGGGGGATCATCCCTTGGGTTGGAAGTTGAAACCGGTTTCTTTGGGGTTTAAGTTAGAAAGACACGACAGCAGATTGATGAACGATCGGACATTTGGCAGATTGGGCGTAAGCGGGTGGGCAAGGTGGTTTCGTGCATGACACAGCACAGCGCCCTCGACAAGCATGTGCGCGAGCGCAACAACAACGCAGGGAGAGCCACAGATGGGGCATCTTGTAGTGACTGGTACGAGTAGATGAGGACCAACATAAGAAGATACCATCGTGGTCAGGCGGCAATGTAAACCGGAGAGGGTCGTGGCTTAGTCGACCGGATGGCTGCTGCTCTCGGCAAAGAGGCGCCGGGCTCTGCGAGGCAACGCAGACTGTTGAACGAGACGGTGGAGCGAAACCGTGACTGACAACGATTGGCCCTAGAGCAAGACATTAAATGTAGAAGCTGGTGTCGACGGCTACAAGGTGGTTGTAGGATTCCGGCTCGCCGTCTCAATTTCCAATCTCCAATATCCAGGGCACAATCTGAATCCAGTGGGTTGGTGCCCAGGGTCTTTTGACGCTCGTAATAACGCTTATTACCTCTTCATCTTGTGTGTCAGATATTGCCATTGTCTCCAACCATGAGAGATCCAGTCTAGCCTAGTAACTGGGTGACAGACTACAAAAAGAGAGAATTTCGGTAAGATAGAAGATGTCGTTGAGGACGACTCACAAGCCAGGTATGGACTATGTGAGTTTGAGACAACATGGGATGGCATTTGATGCCCGTCTTTGAGCATTTCGGCGAGATGAGGTAAGCCACCAGAAAAGCACTGTAGTTGCTTCGAGACATAGCCCAATCCAAATGGGGTTCTGGAACAGCGAGTGCCACGAGATATCGTTTGCTTAGATAGATCCGCCAGACCCAATGGCATTGGGCGCCTGTGGCCTGTCGAATTGTGTTGCTGCACTAGAAGTTGCGCCATTCTCGTGCTGGGTATTCGTATGGGTAGAGCAAGCGGCAACAAGTCAAAGTGAAGTGGACGCGACGAAGGTGAGAGGTGAAGTGAGGGGAGCGGGTTGTCCGTTGATGGAGAGACTGCAGGGTGTGTGGTGAGGTAAGGGCCAGCGGGCACCATCACGCGTGGATGCGCTTGGAACGGGACAGAATCACGGTATCACCAGAAGGAAAGAATCACGAGACTGCGAAAAAAAAGCAGTTGTGGTCAGGGAAGAAGATACGTACATGGCGGGCGTGTCGCAAGAGCAGGAGCGGGGAAATGCATGGAGAGGGTGGGGCTAGCCCCGAAAACCAAGTCAGCCAGTCAGCAGCCAGTATTTAGGATGTTCCTATGCTTGTGTTATGCTGTGCTGTGCTGAGCTGGCCAACTGTCCACCACACGCGCAGCATTTCGAGGCTGGAGCTCGCATTCAACAAGCCAAAAAGCAAATGACCTTCACCGGACTTATCTGAGTGACCTGAACCCTCCCCGAGGTCCCCCCCTTCTGGCAGACTCATTTGCGAGCTCATTTCTTCTTCTTCTGTTCCAGCCTTTCCTCTGTAATTTCCTGGCCTGAAGAGTTTATTGTGTTGCTAATTTCCATCAAGATTCCCATTCCTACCCGAGCGGCCTGAAGATAGCTCTGAAGCTCAAATGCGGTAACTGATCCATCCCATCAGTAATTTGGCAATAGCTCGGAAGGGACGGTTCCAGGCTCTTTGGATACTACTTCCAACTCTGAAGCAAGTGATATCCCAAGGTTAGAAAGAGACTCGTTGTTATCAGAAAGCAGTTGTTCGCTCGAGTTGCTGTTCAAGCGTCGAGGTACAAACTCTGGGAGTACTTCTACGGTACATACACGGCCCAGGCCAACCGGATAGGCGTCAGTTGTGGACCAGGGAGATACATCATGGGCCTGGTTCTTTGGAAGCGGAATCATGCCTTTGATGTACTCGACGGGCAGGCTAATCCCAGAGCCGCTCTCCACCAGAAACGCGGACCTCACCACATGCAAATGGAATTTAGGTTGACTTTCCCGTCCGTTTCCTGTCTCTCTGATGCTCTCCCGTTCACTCACAACACATGTGTGAAGCCCCGGTACGTTGAATGTACCGTACGTATTGCAACAAGTGCAAAGATAGGGTGATGATAATTAGGGGAACGATAGCAGAAAACCGCTTTCACTGCCTTGCCACATGGGCATTACCCATTCACCAGTACTTGGTACCTTGGGCTGAATGGTGCTTTCTCAACTGTCCGAGGCACGCAAGGCGAAGTATCTTGGGGCCCAAAGTATTGATGATGGAGAGCCTAGCCCAGCCCAGTGCCCCCATTTCTCTTCCCTTGCCGCCAAATGGGAACCCGCCCATGCTCTGGGGGCCCATTTGCCAGAGTCCCCGAGCCCCGAGAGCCTGACCACGTCCATAATAATATCCAATTCACTCGATCCGTCCATTCCAATCCAATTCCAGGGTTCTTCTCTCCCAGCACAGGCCAACGCAGAAGGGGCAAGCCGCAGGCAAGCGAGGGGAGGGGAGAAAAGGGAACATAGTGGGGTCGAAGCGGCAGGTGCAGCCAGCAGGCACAGGGCAGGCAAGCTCAGTCGACTAATTACAGCACAGAGAAGGGCACTGCCTACACCGTATCGAGAGAGCAAGGTGGATGAAGATGGAAACCACATACCTAATCCTCAGATATGAATTGCATTTTCTGGTGCTATGGAGCCCAAGGACTTGATGTACCTTGTCTTGCCCGAAAGAGAGCAACGTGAGCTCAAGTGCAAGCAGCAGAAATCTGAGCAGTAAGGTACGAAAGAGGTGACCCCAACGTGCGCAGGTGGGAAAATCAGCAGGTGGAGGGGGTGAATGGGCGGCACCTCCCTAAGGCTACCTTAGCTAAGGTAAGGTAGTCGGGTAGGTAGGTAGGTACCTCTGGTGAAAGACTGGGAGGGAAAGAACGACCTTGGGACTTGGGACTTGGACCAACCCAATTAAATCTTCACTGGACTGGCCTCGCAACTTCCCTTTGAGATTCCCCCCCTCTCCCAAAATAATTCGTCACACGTAAACACTCCCTCCGCCTTCCCTCCTTCTCCCACCGCACACCTTTTTCCACTCTTCAACAACAAAACAAAGCCGCGTCAACTTTCTCACCACTCCGTTGCACGCCTTTCGCAGTATCCATTCCCGCCTTCTCTAATCTTCTACCAAACCACCTCAACCTATCCTCATCACCTCAATCCACGAGTTCAACATGTCTGGCGATGTAAGTACCTTTTCCCCCACGCTGCCCAACACAACCTCACCCCAAAACCCCTCCGGAGCCCCTCGATTGCCCTGCCTGCCTGTGTCACGGCAACGAAGATGCCCATGATGCGATCCTCGATCCACAGCTCTGAATCCTGCGATCGATGCTATTTTTGCCTCGACCGGCTTCTTTAACCCCGGCGGCCTTCTTTCTCCCCTTTCAAATAACTCATGCCTCCTATCGCCCGCCTCGGGAACAAAGTATGCTGACTTGTGCCCCTCTTCTAGCGTGAAAGGTTTGTGCCGAGCCCTCTTCCTCGTCGATGGACTACGTCTCATCAACCACAACCATCAGGCCTCGAGGTCTTTCGCGAACTATTTTTTTTTTTCTCTGACTGACCCTTTCCTTGCAGCAAGACCTTCCTCGCTCGCCTTTGCGAGCAGGCCGAGCGCTACGATGAGATGGTTGGCTACATGAAGGAGGTCGCCAAGTTGGGCGGTGAGCTGAGCGTCGATGAGCGCAACCTCCTCAGCGTTGCCTACAAGAACGTCGTCGGTACCCGCCGTGCCTCCTGGCGCATCATCTCCTCCATTGAGCAGAAGGAGGAGAGCAAGGGCACCGACAAGCACGTCGGCACCATCCGCGAGTACCGCACCAAGATCGAGCTCGAGCTCGAGCAGGTCTGCCAGGATGTCCTCGATGTCCTCGACGACAGCCTTATCCCCAACGCCCAGACCGGCGAGTCTAAGGTCTTCTACCACAAGATGTACGTTTTCCGACGCCATCGCCGCCGCTGCCGGCAGCCTTTATCTGGTCCAATTTCCGAAACTAACCGTGGCACTCCGTGATATAGGAAGGGTGACTACCACCGCTACCTCGCTGAGTTCGCCTCCGGCGAGAAGCGCAAGGGTGCCGCCACTGCTGCTCACGACGCCTACAAGGTGAGAATGATCCGGGTTGAATGCTTCCGTATCAGAGAACATGGAATCTGACAATACCACCCTCTCCTTTAGAGCGCTACCGATGTCGCTCAGACCGAGCTGACCCCCACTCACCCCATCCGCCTTGGCCTGGCCCTCAACTTCTCCGTCTTCTACTACGAGATCCTGAACTCGCCCGACCGTGCTTGCCACCTCGCCAAGCAGGCCTTCGACGATGCTATCGCCGAGCTCGACTCTCTCTCCGAGGAGTCTTACCGCGACAGCACCCTCATCATGCAGCTCCTGCGTGACAACCTCACTCTCTGGACCTCTTCCGACAGCGGCGACGCTGAGGGTGCTGCTGCCGGCACCACCGAGGCTGCTGAGGAGAAGAAGGAGGAGCCCAAGGCCGAGGAGCCCAAGGCCACCGAGGAGACCCCGGCTGCCTCCTAAATTCTTGTCTTACCCTGATACCACTCCATCTCGGCTCGCGACGAGGCTGAGATGGCTCGTCTGCTCGACCGTCGGTATGCGCTAAATGCGGACCTTCCGACGGCCCCAGTCTAGCCGCCAAATCGGTGGCTAATATCGGTGACTCGCTCCGAGTCTCGCAGCAAAAGGGGAGGGGGTTTTGAGGATTGGACGCGGAGAGAGGAACAATGCGTGGCATGATTTCTATTGGTGTCTTGGATGTCCAACCAGGGTCTAGAACAGCTTCGTTTCTGTTCAGGGATTCTACTTGGCAACTAACTACTGATTCCCCCCTCTATATCCGCCTACGCTCAGAGTCTCTTCTTTTGTTCTCCTCGATTCCTGCTTTTACCTCTGTGCTGGATGGTTTTACGGCTGTCTCGTGTTCTCTTTTCGGTTTTCCTCATAGTGGTCCTTCAGTTGTCGCGCGTCTTCTCACGGAGAGAAAGTCCTTTTACCCCCCCTCAAATGCCCCCTGTCTATTCAGTCTACAAGACCAAAAAGAAAATAACAAATGTTCATCAATAATTGTGTCCGACGCCGTGCTTTGATTTGATAATGAAGCCTTGGGAGTCCTGGACCTGAGGTGATCAGAGGAGGTCTGTCGAACATGTGACTGGCACACCTGCAGATCTCATGACTGGCAGCAGCACGGCTAATCATGAGCTATCCACGATGTGACTGTCAAATACCGACAAGCTGACGACTAGATGTATAGGTCATTGAGAAAACAGGCAGGTGGTGCGTAGAATCATGAACAAATTGGTATTCCCTGGTAATATTTCCTGAACATGCCAGAATACAACCATGTAATGTGGATGGCACATTTCAAAAACGCCTAGCAGCCCAGCCAGCCATCCTCCAGAACGCCTCCGTATTTCCAAGAAACCAAAAACCAAGAGGAAAATCCGATCTGCGCCTCATGGTATTCGCAACTCCCATGCGTTTCACCCACTCATCTTTCCCAGTTCACCTGCTTTTCTCGTACCCCATCGTGTACATGTACGCTTCTAACGGCCCGCGTTCGTCTTCGCAAGCAGCCTCTCGGCCCTCCTGAGCCTCGCTTGCTTCTCGGCGATGAGCTTCGGCACATGGCCCCGGCCCTCCGAGTCCGCCTCGTCAACGGCACAGTCGGCGTCTTCGGCGTCTGGTTCATCCCCTGCCGCCATCGCTGCCGCTGCTTCGGCCGCCAGTGCAGTGTTCGTGGCCGTGGGCCAGCCAGCCAGAGTCGCGCGTCGGTACATCTTGGTTGCGTCCTCGGCGCCGCGGGGTGGCATGGGCCCGCTTGTCCTGCTCCCGCTGAGCTTGCGGACAAAATTACGCATGCCGCGGAAGAGTGCGTTGTTGGCCGTCTTTGCGCGGAAGATGCCCGGAGCGATATGGCTACCGGGGAGAACCCCGCCGGGTTGCGTCTGGTCTAGGTAGGCGGACGAGGGCTCCAGACCCATGGCGGACGGGGCGCCGAGGCGGGAGCATGTTGGGCAGTATGTTCCTTGCCCCGGCAAGATGTCGCTACGGGGGAAGGTGAAGGCGTCACCTGCTCCCGGAGAGGATGCAGATGAGGACGCCGAGGAGGACGCCGCGGAGAGGGAGATGTTTGTTGAGGAGGCGGAGGCCGCTGGGGAGGAGGGCGGACATGTGCATAGGGATGCTGAGGCCGCTACCTCTTCACGCCAGACTTGGATGCGCTGTTGCTTTGAGAGAGTTGGGTTGGACATTTTGTACGCTTTTTTCCCTCCTTGGATATTGGTCCGGGGATATGATATGTTGATGTTTGCTCAAGTTGAACAGTGTACTTCGATTTGTAAGTATGCAGCGGGTGTTGGTGACCGTTTCCTCCTATGAAGTATTGTGTGGCCAAGCACCCATCCAGTGGCCGTTCGCGGTTTGTCCGTCGTAACGGGGATTGAGGGTCTCGGTTGCTAACCTTGGAATGAGGATGATGCTCAAGCCAAGACCGAAAGCAGAAAATGTCGGTGGGGGAGGGTCTTCGAGAAGGTCTGCGCTCTACGTGACAGAAGCCCAAAACATACAGGTGAGAGAGAAATTAGGTGTTGGACGTTGAGAACAGGTATTGACGAGGTCCGTCCGTTGTGGTGATATCGTCCGAGGCAAAACAGACGGGAAAAGGTGTAAGATGGGAGGAGAGACGAGGATGTTAAAGAAAAGGAGGATATTAGAGTGGAAAAGTTGGTGGCCGTCTAATAATGTATAGGTAACACGAGACCTGTTCGGGTGTCATGCAAGGCTGTCTCTGCTCGGTAGATGGTCTCTAACGTCCCGTCCATGTGCTCTTCCGTCGTGTGTGTAAGGAACACTCCAAGCGTGATTAAGTCGGCGCCAACCCCGGATTCGAAGATAAGATGGGCGGTGTATGTGTGTGTTGCATGTGCGTGTGTGCGGGTGTTGGTCTTTAGTTTGTGAGGCAAGTAGGTGTGGCCGATGACCAGATGACTCGAATCAGGTCGAGAATTGTCAAGATGTGTACGAAGATGGGTAGATAGAGATGGTGGGGGGAAGTCGAGTATTTTCCTCTCTCTCTGTCAATTCCCTGGCTTGTTCAGAACAGCGGCAAACGGGAGCAAGAATACAAGACGATGGCTGGACGAGTCAAGCCTCTTCTTGCCATCCGCTCTTCTCTTTTGGGTGGTACGCAGGTCTTAGCGGGAGAGTGAAGGCCCTCGGGCGTATGAAACAAAAACAAAAGAGCAAATAAATTGAAAGGTGGTAGGTTGAGCGGAGGTTCAAGACAGGTTAGGGATGAGAATAAGAAATGAAATCCCAGCAGCAGCGGCGGTGATGGAAGCACGTTCGGAAGAAGAAAAGATATCAACTGGAACAGCCAGGAGTTGTGATCGGCGGCGGTGGGCTTGTGATTATGTTTAGGTAAGGGTGTTTTGGTAATAGAGCCAACCAAGTTGGTATCAAGCTGAGGAGCGTTGGTTTGCGTGATAGGACAGTTCGGAAAGCAAGATCCGTATGGTCGAAGCGATGCGTCTTAGTAGGGGATGTACCTTGCTGCAAAGCGTCTCATGAAAAGGAAACAAAACAAACCACCCCTTGAAGAGGAGTTGGTAGCGGCAGCCAGCAACTAGGAGACGAACGACAAACGGGTAAGGAACGAAGCGGGTGGGGTTCGTTCGTTCGAGGTCGTTCGTCGCGACAAGCGTCCGTCCGTTCGTCTGGCGTTCGGCCCTTGCAAACTAAAAAAGGTCTGGTGGAAGAAGAGAGAGGGGCAGGCAAGGTAAGCTCCGACAGGTGACTTTGGTATTAGAAGCACATACGAACAGGCGAAGCGGCAGCAGCCCAGCAGGTAGGGGTAAGGTAGCACCGATACAATCTGCAGGACAGTTGAGAAAAGCTTGGATGCGTGTGTCTGGGCAGAAGGGGTGTGCAGACTGCAGCGTGCTGTGCCGGTGGATGAGAGGATGGGGGTGGGAAGCGATTTTAGGTTGTGAAGAAAGAGAGGAAGAAAGAAACGAGCGAACGAACGAAGAAAAGAGGGAGTTAGGAAGATGGGACGGGATGGAGACGAGCCGGAGGATGAAGCAGACCGGCTCGTACGCCGCCTAGGAAACGAAAGAGAAAAATAAGACTTGCGCGGTTAGATGTCCCTTGGTGGAACAAAAGCCAAAGGCAGTGTCGAGCGTTTCGAAAGGAACCGGTTCTCTCTTGCTTTGGTGCTTCTTTCAAACTAGGCATGCACGACAATGCCACCAACTGCCTCTAACCTGCGTATGGAGGTAATTTGGGTGGGCTTCCCTTGGCGACGTTTGCCTGGTTCAGGCCTCGTCTGCCCCACGATCGGCAGGCCCAGTCCAGTATGACCATTGACCACTGCCGGGTGCCGCACTAGGAGAGCAAGATGGTGTTGTCAGATGGTCCACGGAAACTGGCAGTGACAGGGTCGATCGCAGTCGATTCCTTGTTCTTGTTCTTGTTTTTGTTTTTATGCTTGCCAATCTCTCTATCTCTGATCGTCCACCTACCTAGGTATCACGCTGTTGGAGTCTTGGAGAGAAGGGTCTTCCCGCGTGGGTTATTTGAGTGAGTTACCACGTCACACCCGGAAGCGGTCCATGGCGGACAACCGAAATAACGAAGGCGGCGCGGCGCGTGCGGTGACACTTCGTCTTCGTGGTACAATACCATGGGTGATCTCTCTCTCGGTCTCTCCCCCCTCCGTCCCCCTCTTCTTCCAAGTCACACAAACTAGGGGGAAGAGGTTGAGAGAGTCAGAGACAGACAGCTCGAACATCCCCCCTCCTCTCCCTCTCCAGTCTCAACCAGCAGCCCCCCTGTTCGCTGTTCGCTGTGGCGCCCGAGGGGCGTGACTTGGACTTAGACTAGGGCGGTGCCTTTGTGCTTGGACGGTGCCGCTGTCAGATGTCAATGAACTCCTGAAGACGCACGCACGCTCAGAAAGGCGGAGGACACCCTGACTTCATCCCTCTGGACCTCAAGGAAGCGGTGAAGTGTCTTAGTTATTACGGACATTGCGATCGTGAGGATTGGACCTCCGTAGGCATGTGTCGTTGGTAGACAACCCCCAGACGACTTGCAGCAGTGCGAGAGAGAGACCATGCAACAGATGGAATTGGGGGTTACAAAAAATAAGGGTATCAGCTCTCCTCTTTCCCCTGCCAGAGCTGAACTCCAAGGGTCCATCCGTCCAGATTCGGTGAGGCCGTTTTGCGATCAAGGTGAGAACTGAAAGAACGCATTTGCTTGGAATGGCGTTGTGATGTGGGTGGCTGTGGTATGGAAGCCGATTGGCGTTCGGGCGTCGCCACCCACTCCCCGGCTCACTCATACCGACCGGCTCTAGATTTGTTCACAGCCAGCCTCCTAGGCAGGGCATAGGTAGGCGGTCCTCTCAGTCAAAGAGGTATTGTAGCCTCTCCGCTCCATGACGAACCATACTGAGTAAAACAGTGGAAAGCGCCAGTGGGTTTGTGGCACACGGCAATTGCGTTTTCAAGCCATCTTGTACGACATTTGCTTTTTGTATGCTTCACTCCGTCTAATCATCCACTACAGTACGGTAGCAACCTGAGCCCGCCCGGGTCAGCTCAATGCTATTGCCTATTCACATCAATCATCAAAGGCAGTTTCGCCGTTTTTGCTTCTAGCATCACCCGCTAGCTTGCCCATAATCTTGTCATGAAAGACTTGTGAGCCGATCCCGTCATCTCTGAGAGCTGGGAACCAACGTCTCCCAGCTTCCCATGTCGCTGGGTCCATCGTCACCCAGTGAGTCTAGCAAGTCTACCGGCGCCTTCTTCTTTGCCGGGATCTTTGGTTTTGGTCGTTCCTCACCAGCCCTCATCCCCGGTAGGGCGACGGCCCCAGCCATCGGAGTGTGCCTCCCGGACTCCATAGTCATAGTTCCCGCTCGCTTGGGAGGCTTAGCCGGCGTACCTACTGGCTTACGCAGAGTGCCTTCCCTACTCGCACCAAGATTCGTGAAGCCTGTCGAGGCTCGGACCGGCAGTGGTGGTTTTTCTTCCGGCTCGTCTCTATACTGACCCATCCCATTGCTACTCAGAGCTGAAGATGCTGCAGCCGGTGCTGTAACCAGGTGTGCTGGCTTCTTCGCTACAGGTGGTGCCGGTTTGGATTTGGATTGTGACGACAGCTGCGAAAGCTGGGAAATGGCAGATGACGGTCGCGGAGGGGGAGGCGTCGTTGTCGTATTTCGCGATTTGTTGGAGGGTATCAGTGGTGGGTGCTGAATTGTTGCGCTTGCTCCCGTCTGTCTTCTAGGCGGCGGTGGCGGAGGAGGCGTTTCTCCGCGTTGCGACTTTTCATCCTTGATGCTGAGGCCGTTGACCTTTCCTGGCATGCCTGTCGGATCAAAAGGCGGAGGCAGCTTCCTGGTTATCCGGTTCGTTGCCGACGACGAGAGATCATTGGGCGCAGAAACATGCTCGTATGGCGAAGTCGATACGCTGGAGAAAGACGACAGTCTTGACCTGGGTACGTTGACCCAGTCAGGCTCTCCAGTCGGCGTGAAAGGATTGGGCGCCCTATTAGGGTTGAGTATTGCGGCGTGGCCCTCGGGAGCCGTCGGTTGCTTGATGTCAACTCTGGCCTGCTGCTTGTTCTCCAACCACCATTTCTGGCGGTCAGAACTAGCAGGAGGCAGCCCAGGCTCAATGGCTTCATAGCCAATCAGATCTTCATCGTCGGTTTCCTCTGAGTCCAGGTTTGCCGTCGTGTCACCAACTTCGGCTTTTCGCCGTTGGTATAGCTCTTTGCTGATTTGATCTCGGAAAGCTTCATCGACAATACTGACGTTGCACTGGAACAGAGCATACACTGGCCGGTGATCCGAGAACTTGAGAGGAGCTGAGTTGTACGCCAGTTGACGCAGGCTCCCACCCTTGCGCAGAATACGATCGGTCCAGGCAGGGATACGGGCTTTCTCGCTGTGAGGGGTCAGTATTGACATTCTCGGATATATCGACCTTTTGAACGTACGAAGTATCATAATTGTCCGTGCCAAGATCGAACTTGTATGTAGGCAGGAAATTGATACGGGCCTCTGAATAAAAGGGAAACGCAAGTCCTGCGATCATTTGAAGGTTCAACTACTAAGAAGTCAGCATGTTGATGGGGAGCACCAGGGTCATATTATCTACTCACCTGATCGTTCTCGTAAAGTGTCTCTAGATCGCCCTTTTTGATTAGACTGCGGGCGTTCTCAGAACTGAGGCCAATTCTGTAGTTGAAGTCTCCGAGCCAAACAACGGCATCTGCTCCAAGGTCAGCTCTAAGCTCATAGGTGATATAGGCCTTCGGGATGAATATAGCTACCGTGATCATCGATCCCACGGTTCCGCTGAAAGCGTAGCCCGTGGTGAATCGTTGCGTAATCTCTATTTCTCTCGTCGTAATTCGAAAATCCGGCAGCCAAATGGGCCGTCACGAAGCAGATATGGGTATTCGCGTAGTCAAATCGTATGGCAACCGCTCCTTTGTTGCCGGCCATTCCCGATAGCCCCGTTTTCTTGACGCTTCCCTCAACATTCTTAATGTTGGCCAAAGCCGATGCCTTGACAAAGATGCATAATGCCGCGCCGACGAGTTGTCCACTACGGAGCAATACGTATCTCTCTCCATCAAGCGACTTGGCGCGTTTATTGAGGCATCTTCTTACTGCAGCTTCCCAAAGTTGTTTCCTTGAGGGATCACTGTTCATGATTTGTTGTGGGCTCAACTCGACAATCTCTTGGAATCCAACAGCAACTATTTCGGGCTGCACGTTGCCCAGTTCTGCTGGAGACAACCACGCATCAAGATCGCTATCGACGCCTTCAGTGCGACCGTTGAGGTTGAAAGTACCGACCAACCTACGCGGGTAAGCATGAGAGCCAAGGGTGCGCACAGAATTCTTACATGCTTATGTCCTGTGTGGACGAGAACTCAGCGCTTCTCTTTGTTAATTCTCCAGAAACGTAATCACTTATAGGGTCGAAAAGAAGAACGGGGAGTTGGTTGACCAGCCTCCCCAGCAGCCGGTCAATGGTCGTTTGCCTAGCCGAATCCGTGAAATTATTGTGATAGAGACGCTGCACAGATTTGCGCATGTCTGCAACAGCTCCAGCGAGGGACATTTTCCCAGAACGGGTAAAGGACGATTTAAGCGCACCAGTTCCCGCGTAGATCTTTGAAAGAGCGTCTCCGTTGTCTGCCCACAAGGTCGAGTGCCGCATCCAGAAATCCGAGGTGGCATACTCGCCTCGATGGCCCAGGAAAGCCTCAGTAGCCATCTGAGAAATGAGGGTCTGGATCAAGTTTGTCCTATCCAGACAGTCGAGACAGTTTGTTCGGAACACACCCTCTTGCTGGAGAACCACAACCATACGGCTTGAGCCTTGGCCGTCGTTGGCCTCAGCGCCTAGGTCTTCATTCTGCTCCGCGAGGTAGTAGGCGAAGCCGTCTATCGAATTCTCAATGTATCTGCGGATCTGGCGCGCGGCCTCGTACCCTCCAGGGCCTTTCGTCTCGGCATGGAAGTCGTAGTGGGTCTCTCTCAATAGCGCATGGTCTTGCGACTCGTGCTCCCCAACCTGGCTTAATGGACAATGTTCTACACCGAGATGGTACAACTGACTGAGCTGCGCCTCGCCAGGTTTGCCTTCACTCAGAAGATTGACCACGTGAACGGCGCCGTAAGCTTGCTCCAGGTCCGCGAAGTGTTTATTGAAGGCCGGCTGGGCTCCCTCGGGGGACCTGATAACGGTAATGTTTTGCTTGCCAGGGATGAGCTCCGCAGTCTGTTCCCAAAACAGAGGAACCGAACCTCTGACTTGAGCATAGGAAAAGAGAGTCCCGCCGGGGCTCCAGTATATGGTTTCTGTCTCGACAAAGTTTGCCACGTTGCCGTCATCGTCAATACCTCTGGAGTTGAATCGTGTTCCCGCTCTGCGACAAGAGAGTCTTGATACAACGGTCAGGTACGATGGTAGCCCGGTTGATCGCGTTTTGAGAGGAGCACTCGTCTGGGGGATGGCCATTGTCCGACAGAACCCACGGATAGCAGATGTGAGGAATCGTGATGAATCCAAAGCCTCGCGCTCCTGAGGCTGCAGTCGAGACCTGAACTGGACCAACGGGCTGATCATGTACGAGTTCCACAGGAAGGAATCGTCAAAGTTGTCAATGTCAAAGGTATAAGAATTCACGGTCCTAGATGATCAGCGACGCATTATTGCCGGAACTGGATACGATCATACCTATCTTGCAACCTGTTTGTAAGATCGAAGTCGGTGCTGTAGTAGAATGTACCATTTCCCAGAAGTTTCCGAAGGTCCGTACAAGGATGTTCTACCTGAAGCTCCCGCCCTCTGAGGTTCTGGCCATACACAGAGTTGGCATCCGAGACCTCGGAATCTAGAGGATCGAGAGAGACAACATCGTCCCACTCGCTTCTGTTGAGGCAGAAGAATGCAACACTCGCGATCCGTTCCACGGTCTCCCCCGGCCTAAGGGTAGCGACTCTTGTGGCATGTGTCACAACGGAAAGGAACACGTCGCCCTCGACAGAAATCAAACCCAACGTTCCAAAGATGGGCCGTGGGGTCAGCGGTCGGTATTCGGCAAGCGTCTTTTTTGTGATCTGAGTGAACTCGACCATACATTTTGACGCAGCAGGGTCGCCATTGGGTCGTGAACGGGTGGATGCGAGGGAAGTAAGGGAGCCGTTTGCGCCGGCGCTCGAGGAGCTGTAGCGAAATATGAGAGCATGGGAGGACGAAACTATTGCGATGGAGCGATGGGGGTAGTCCCGAATGTACAGCTGGCTAGACTTTTCTGGTGCCGGCACCTGAGAAGGCCAAGTCCCAGAGCTGGAGTAATCCATGGTCGTTCGGAGGTGTTGCTGACAGGTTCGGGGAAGCACAGGCGTCGCAGGGCATGCTTGGACGAGTTCGGTGGTTCATCGAAGGGCGCCGTCGTCGGCGGGCCAGTGAAGTCAAGGTCGATGACGTTAACGTGCGAGAAGGGGAGTATAGGTGCGGAATGTCGTCGTTTTGTTGGTGCGAAGTTGGAGCTTAAGATAGTATGGCATGACAGCCCCCAATGGTTTCTGGCGTTTGGCAAAATGTCGCGGCTAACAGTAGCGGAATTTGGGTCGCCAACACGGAGCCCGACAATGACGTCCGTCCCGGCGGAGGTAACCAGGGGCACAGGACCGCTGTACGTTTAGCGCCTACCTTAAGCTCCGACAGGCCAGGCAAGTGGGAGGCAGCTCGCTTCCTTGCAAGACGCAGGTGGTTTCAGCCTCACGGACCACCTTGCCTTGTCGCCATCTGGGAGCCTGGAAGGAAGCAGCGGGCGGCTTGCGCTTGTTCCATGGCAGGGATAGGTAGGTCTGTCTCAACTCTGCAAATACCTACCTACCTTACTTAAGCTACTTTCACGTGGATCTCAACATAACTCAGGTAGGTACGAGTATGGATGGAATGTCAGAAACGATTGGCTATACAGCAATTCGATAGTTACCGAGTAAGGTAGTCAATCTGGATTCAGAGACAGTCAGGGAATGACATGTTCAGAGGCAGCTCTTGGGAACGGTACAAGGTTCCGTCAAAAGACAAGGCACCGAGCTAAACTAAACATGCGATGAACCCCGTCCTCCATATGGAGAAGTGTTAGAGTAGTCAAGACATCTTGGAGTGTATTCACAATCACGCTCACCCGTAGACAAAGTGTCACAAGCTTTATGGCCATAAATTGCAATTTTACGCTAGCGATGGCTCGACCTATGCAGCTCGATTCTCAGAATCATGAGGTGAGAGCTTCTATGATAAATGTGGATCCGCGCCGTTGGTACTATAGAGTAGGTGCCTAGGTAATGTAGGGTAAGGTAAGGTGAGGTTGGGAATCAGCACCCGCCTCATTAAGATACCTTACCTCGAGTACTTTGACCTCCACTATCGAATATCCTGTCTCTCAACTTGCAAGCGTTTGCATATTGTTGTCTGCAACTTCTCTCCTTTCTCTCCTTCTTCCGCCACTCTAGGTCCTTAGTTGACATGACAATGGCAATGTTCACCTCATACCCCCCAGAAATCATCGCCCGGGTGTTGGCCAGCTGTGACAGCTTCAATGACGCTTTCGCTCTTGCCAGCTCCTGTCAGTATACTTACGCAGTGTGGTTGGACCATGGCGCGAGCATCATCCATAGCATTGGCCCGCGAACAATCCCCGCGTACGAACATGCTGTCGTTGCCGTAGGTATTTGCTTTCCCAAACGTCGACAGACCTCACCATCACTCACTTCAACTGCGTAGGTGCGCGCCACAAATACAGTCAAAGAAGCCTTCCACGCCAGCCAGCTACCACCCAATATGACGCATGATAATATCGAAGAGCTGAAGCCCTCTCACCAAAAGTGCCGTTTGTCCGAGTTGGCGGACTTACTTGCGTTCTGTCATCTGGCTGCGTGCCTGGAGTACGCGTACTTTCACTTTGAGGAAGACGGGTATACGTGTCTATTATGCCCCGAGATCAAAGATGTCACCTGGTGTACCAAAGGCGACACCGTATTCTATCAACGTTTTCACGATTTTCAAGAAAAATTCCATCGAGTGCTATACAAGAACCTTCTCGCTGGCGCTTTCTTATGGAAGTCCCATAATGAGCTATTCATCAAAGCTGCAGCAGACGGGGCTGGGAAACGCTTTCTCGAGGAACTTCGATCACTGCAAGCTCGCGAAGATTGGCAAGGTCTTTCGGACGACAGCCAGGCATACATTGCAGAGTTCCCGGTGTACGACGTCCACAAGATGACATCAGTCAGCCAAGAAAAGGTGTTTGGGCATCTTGCCCGTTACTTGATACAAGACATCGCCCTTGTCCCAGATCCGGCCTGTGCCGCCGAAGTACCATGGGAGGTGATGGCTTCCATCTATGCCCACGAGTATCACTCACCTCAGTTCTTCAACGCCGGTGGAGAGCGTCGCCATGGTTGGCCGCCGTTCAAGAACTCAACTGCTTCTGATTTGCCTCCCACGCGTAAAGTGACAGTTGTTCTGTTTGGGGAGTTTCAATTGGAAGAGGTATCGATGCCTATCAACATCGAGGACATGCATCGTACTCGACTGGTAGCGACTCAATTACAGGCCTCGTCCTCAGAGAGTGCAGAGGACGGCAACCCCTTCGCTTGCCATGGTATCGACATAGCGGTAACTCTGCGAGATCGGTATATGTTCCTCGGTGGCGAGGAGGAGTTGGAGGACTGCGCTCCACACCCTCCTCTTCAGCTTTACACCTTCATGCTGAAAAAGCACTATGGACTTGAATTCAGTCCAGGCGTGTTTGACCGGACATATGAAGAAGGGTACTATCTGACGTTTCTCTGGGAAACAATTTTTGGTCACGACTATCACACTGGATTGGACCCGAGTTTTTCAAATTTGCTGAATGCTTGCAGTAGAAACTGAGCACTGCTACTATGCAGAAATGCTCGCAGCGCTCGCGACTGATTACGATGCTGTCTTTTCCATTCCAAAATCAGCTGGATGGTGTGCCGCCTGCTTTGAAGAGACGTGTGCGCTCAACCCATCAGGCATGAGTTCGGAGAAAACACACCTTAGGCAGGTGGTAAGCTATAATAGGGGAACGAATGCCAGGGGACAACCCTTTTCCTCGCTTCAGGATTGATCACGGGCAGTAACAATGTGTCTGGATAGATACGGCACCTAGAATATGCCTATGGGGGAAACCAGCGGAGAGGGGGGAAAGATGTAAAGATGAGACGCGGAAAGGATGCCAGCCCTGGGGTTTGGGAAATGCCCTGCGGGCCCCAGAAAGAATAATAATGTCAATGCTTTGAGGCAAAGCAGGCTTCAGATATATAAATTGAGATCACACTGCCACCTTGGGTGGTCAGTCATTCTCTTCCTATCATGTATTGTATGGTAATCATCACGAGCCTTATTGTGAAAAAGAGAAAAAACAGAAAGGAAAGGTTTTTCATGAATATCGGACGTCAAATAGGATCCACAGGCGGCCGATTGCTTACCTAAGTTAGCCCGCCGAAGATGGCCACCTAGGAAAAATCACGACTTGCGCCCTGGGGGGAAACGACCAGACGACGGATACAACCTGCTCCACACTGGTTTGTCGGCTCCGTTCCGGATTCTAGATCAGATTCTGGAAGTGCCATGCCAAGCACAGAGTGACGAATGCCATATGGATATAAGCAGAGTGGCAAGAAGCTTAGATGGTACGATGATGCAGCCTTCAATCGATCCGGGCAAAGCACACGCAGGTTGTCAATACACCATGATACCATCCAGTGTACCAACCTATGTAGAACAGAATGCAAAAAAAGGAGTGGTCGACTTTGCTGCAAATAGAGATCGGGACGTGCCTGGCTAAACTCCTACAGTCTGGAGAGCTGATGGAAGCGGCTCAGTTGTGGACTGCCGACCGCCTGATCTCTTCAAGCTGTTGGCCGATCTGATTCGCTTCCGCGCGTCACTGATAAAGCACGGAGAGCAAGGGTTCGCCTGTCAAGGTACATTACTTCTGGGTGCCATGGCACCAAAAAGACAAGTCCCTCCGGTCTCCAAGGCCAGGTACCCTGCCTCAGCCCCATTTCCCCCAATTGCATGCAGAGATACCTGCCAGCCTGCGGGCAATCCGTACCTTTAATGCCCGTTCATAAAATTTCCAGCCCCCCTTCCATCCGCGACCTCGAAGCTCGACCCGGTCACCCACGATTCCAACGGCCACCAAACAGCCTCGAGACCCGCGGCGCCCTCACTCCACCATCTACAATCCCTTCCTGCTCCCTGCTGCAGCCCTTCGCAGTCCCGCGCCTCGCCGACTTTTTCCTGGAAACTCAGTCATTCCGCCGTTCGTTTACTGAAATCTTCGCCCGTCATGTCTGATTACGACCACTTTGGGAGCTCCGAGGAGGAGAGCGCCGAGATCAAGAAGCTCCAGGCCGATGTGGTACGTGAACTGCGACACCAACAATGTCGCACCTGATATCAAAATCAATTGAAAGAGATGCTAATCTGATTACGCGCCCACAGGAAGTCGATCCCGATAACTTCGAAACCTGGGAGAAGCTGGTTCGCGCCTGCGAGGGTCTGGAGGGCGGCCTGAACCGCAACTCCAGCCCCCAGGCCCTTGCCACTCTTCGAGATGCCTACGATCGCTTCCTCCTCAAATTCCCTTTGCTCTTTGGCTACTGGAAGAAGTACGCGGACCTCGAGTTCAACATTGCTGGACCCGAGTCAGCAGAGATGGTTAGTCGTTTTCGTGTCGCATCGCGTCGCATCGCATCGCATTGCATCCCTTGGCTCCCGGCCGTGACTGACGTTGCGCTTCTTCATAGGTCTACGAGCGAGGGTGCGCCAGCATCACCAATTCTGTCGACTTGTGGACCGACTACTGCTCCTTCAAAATGGAGACCACACACGTCCCACACCTCGTCAGAGAGTAAGTAGTTGATGGTCGGCTTTCCTTCCCCCTTAACATCACCATCACCACAGCATGCCTCACCGGCCGCTCGGCGCATCGATCGAGCCATACATGGACTCTATCCATTGCCTTTCAAGTATCCGTCGGTGAGAAATGCCAACAGCAGCCCCATTGTTGGGATGCCCTCTCACGCTAGTAGTTACCAGGCTCTGCTGATTTCCACTTGACGATGACTGATCCGTTGTCCGCTCCACGTCGCATTCACACCACCACCACCACATCGCTCTCATTGGAATGCCTTACTTTGGACTTGGATTCGCTAGTTGATTTCACTTGATACCCCTTCCTGTATAGCACGCCTCCTATCCCCCTCTTCATCCCCTGTCCCTGCGCCCTTGGCTGTGTACTGACCATTCGCTCCAGGCTCTTTGAACGTGGCGCAACCTGTGTCGGCCTTGACTTCCTCGCACACCCGTTCTGGGATAAGTACATAGAGTACGAGGAGCGACAGGAGGCCCAAGACAAGATCTTTGCCATTCTGTCTCGAGTCATCCACATTCCGATGCACCAATATGCTCGTTACTTTGAACGATTCCGCCAGCTCTCCCACAGCCGCCCCGTCACCGAGCTAGTTCCGGCTGAGACGCTGCAGAGATTCCAGGCTGAGGTGGAGGCCGAGAGTGCCCAGTATGCCGGTGCGCAGCGAACGGAGCTCGAGGTTGAACGCGACGTCCGCACCAAGATTGACGCCATGTACTATGAGTACTTTACCCAGACGCAGTCCGAGACCAACAAGCGATGGACCTACGAATCCGAAATGAAGCGCCCTTACTTCCATGTTACCGAGCTTGAGAGCTCGCAGCTCACCAACTGGCGCAAGTACCTTGATTTTGAAGAGTCCGAGGGGAACACTACCCGCATCGTCTTTCTTTATGAGCGATGCTTGGTGACATGCGCTTTCTACGACGAGTTCTGGTTCCGCTACGCCCGCTGGATGTCTGCACAAGAGGGTAAGGAGGAAGAGGTTAGAATCATCTACCAGAGAGCCGCCACTATGTTTGTACCCATCAGTCGGCCCGGCATCAGGCTGCAATTTGCCTACTTTGAGGAAAGCTGTGGACGTATCGACATAGCTCGCGACATTCATGCGTCCATCCTCATGAAGTTGCCCGACTGTATTGAGGCCATCACCTCATGGGCTCACCTCCAGCGTCGACAGAGCGGGCTGGACGCCGCGGTTGAGGTTTTCAAGGCGCAGATCGATTCGCCTCAAGTGGATATCTTTACCAAGGCAGCTCTGGTGACCGAGTGGGCCTTGTTCTTATGGAGGGTCAAGGGCTCAGTGGAAGAAGCTCGCAACGTCTTCCTCAAGAACGTACAGTGGTACGCCGACAGCCGTGTCTTTTGGGACAAGTGGCTCGAGTTCGAGCTTCAGCAGGCGACAAGCACGGAGCTGGAGGATCAGCACGGCGACCGCATCAAGCAGATCTTTGACGAACTCCGGAGCAAGAGCCGTTTATCCGCCTCGACAAAGAAAGAGCTGTATCAAATTTACCTGTCGTACTTACAGCAGCGGGGCGGTAAGGACGCGATGAAGCAGTTCCTTGCCATTGACCGGGAGATCTTTGGGTATGTGAAGCCTTCTACCATTGTCCCATTCGAGTCGGATGCTAACGATATCTGATAGGCCGGGCTCGATCTCACTGCTGGCCAAGGACAAGGTTGGCGGAAAAGAAAACGGAGCTGCTGTGCCTGAGTTGGACGAGGTGACAAGATACCGAGCCGAAGCCAGGTATCTGAGATACTACGAGCTCCAGGGCGAGCCGGACCTCGAGGGACAGGCCACAGCGCCGTTCAACTAAGCGGACATGACACCATTCATCGTGATGTTTGCTTTAATGCTCCAGGAGTTCCCGGTCCCTTGGGTATTTTTACCAATCAATCTTCTTGTACTATATGAGTCGATTTGACGACAGATGATGTGCGGATGGCCGGCTGCGGGGAAATTGTATTGTATCCAGTGTTATGAAGGTGGTCTACATAGAGACCGGCGACGGCCCAAACAGATAGACCATGACTGTTGGGGGAAGAGAGGGTTCGCTGAAGGCGCCAACTAGGTCGATGTTGTAGCTTTTGAGCACTACGAAACGCATCATCACAGCAGAAATAATAGCTCATCAAACGAACATTGTTAATAAATGCAGCGCCCTTGTTTTCGTGACTTATACGTGCGCCGTTGACCAGCGGCGGAGGGGTCCCGGTATCCACACACTAAGGCATAATGATGCCGGTGGCCGGCAGTAGGTACCGGTAAGTTGCCGGCGTTTAGCTACGGTCAGCACCGCCGATGGAAACCGGTGGTCGCCGAACTCCCATAACTAAAATGGTAAGGGTACGGAACGTCGCCGGCCTCGAAGGTTCGGATGGCACGTACACCTCGGGCTGTATGAGGGTCGTCAAAAGCAAAGGCTGGGTGCATGTAATGTCACTGGTGGACGCATACGAAAGACGCGTTGAGGCACGCATAAGGATCGCAATTGTGAAGCCCGGATCTGTCCCGTGTCGCCGGCATCGGGCCAAGAGGATAAGTTGGAGGGACAGAGAATCGCGACATAATGCAGGTGAAGAAGGGGCTGATTACCAAGCACGAACAGGGGTATGCGAACTGAGTTGGCACTTTACACAGTACCTTACCTTACCTAGTGACTAGTGAGACTGCACAAGGAAGTTTTTGCCCATTTTAGATGGTGTTATGATGAAGAGGCTAAGAAAAGGGTTCAGATTTTCCGCCCTATCAGGGACGGGGCTGGGCTATGTTTCCCGAGGAAACGGTTCCGGGATGCGAGAGCACCGTTTGATTTTTTGTTGGTAACGGCGCCGTTGAGGAAAGAAAAAAGGGGACCAAAGGGATCATGGAGGGAAAAGTGGCTAATGAGCCCTCGGACTCGTGCACCCCCGAGTGTTGTGCAATTATCCTCAAGTTCTATTATTGTGGTTGAAGAGAGGGATAGTAAAGCAGGTGCCTCACTACCTTAGATGGTGTTGTGAGTTCGGGTAGGAATCCGTTTGATGGCGTGAGGTTGGAGAGGAAGCATCCGAACCCGTGGGAAGTGGAGGGTGGGGATGGTACCGGAGGAGATAGCCGGTGGAAATATGGCGACAACGGTATGCTTCTTGTCGTCATGAAAGGGTCCTCTCAGTTCCTTAAAGCTTGACAGTATGCAAAACGCCGAACAACCTAGAGCGAGAGAACGTACATTGCGCGCCGTGATGATGCGGTGCAACCCAGTTCAATCCACGTGTTGTAAGCCCGGGATGAAGGTTTACGGCAGTACAATAAGGCGGTCGTCGTTCCCGACTGAGCATGAGCAAATCCCGAGAAACAACGTTGGTGAGGCGAGGAATAGCTGCTGACGAGTCAGCGTTGCTGTGAAGTCACAAAGCACGTTGCCCATGTTTCGAATCATAGAAATGGGCGCAAAGGTACAGTGATAGCGTTCGTGAGAATTTGTTCGGTAATAGTGTAGGTAGCTTATTTCGGGGCGACTCTCAGATCCGCTGGGGATGCGTGCCTGTGTCGTCTTTTCCCTTCCCGACTCCCCGAGCGGCGAGCCCAATTTTTATGATCTTACCATGCGTCGCCGTCCTGGACCTGGGGCCGTTTTGGGCCCTTGGGGTGAGGTGGGCTTGGCTTTCTGAGTCAACGGATGCGATGGGGGAAACTGGGTACGGCGGGCAATTAATTACAAATACTGCAAGATGAAAGGGCAGACGTGCGTGGTACAGTCAGCGGGGAACGTTCGGCCTGCTAACCGAGGGATAACTGTCGTTATTCTGGGAGGCGAGACATATCAACGAGGTTACCTACAACATGAAGTGAAGACATTGATACTCGGTGTTTGGATTTTTTTTTTTTTCTTAATGCTTATGAAATCATCCCTCGGAGATGCTCGGCTAGGGAGTTCAGCCGATTACGTATCGGAAGTCAGAACGGCATAGTAAGGCAAGGTAAGACTGAAGCAAAATAAGGACGGAAAAGGTTTAGAAGCCATGTGGCATGTGTCAGCGTAGACTGATATCATCCCGTGCGGCGTACCTTAGCTCAACAGCCCGTGTCATTTTGCAAGATACGGCGGGCGGTATCGGGGACCGGTACGTCTCGAAAAGTCGATATCGGGCTCTGGCTTGCTAGCGCAGCAACCACCACGCACACCTCTTCCACCGTTTTACGTTTTGATAACCGTAACCTACATGTGCCCGTAAGCAAGGCGAAGAAAAAGAAATGCCACAGATACGGACACCAAACAGCCGCAAAAGCGGGCTCCACCACGAACGAAGGCCTAGCAAACGTAGATGGGAGCACAAGACTTTGAACACAAGCCTAACAAACTTGGAATATCCACATGGCGAGGCGGTCCCACCGTCCGTCCACGTCCATCAATCCTTGCAAGCAGACCCCCGACGCAAGCCCATGGAAGAAAAAGATGGATACCCGTAACACCCCGGTCAACGCTGGAGCTCCTGCTTCTGACCACTCACAAGTTCCCAATTTCTCATTTCACAGGTTCGCTCCCTCCTCGGTTCTTGACCCCCTTCCCGATGGGCAATGGACCGTGGAAACTGACTCTACCTCTTGTTAGTGTCAAAGGCAGGCTGGTGCCGGTGCAGGGTACATTGGTATTTCTCAAACGCCCCCGGGGCAACGAACATTCGAGATTTATATTCCAAGGGCCGCGCCGCCAGTCTCCCCTTTCACTTCGTTTCCCCCCCCTCCTTCGAAAGCCTCCGTCCCTTCTCCCATTTCCTTCAATTGTGTTGTTGATTCTACTCGGAACTCCATAACCACCTCATCAAAGCTTCCACCAAGGTTAGTACCCTTCAAACTCCCGCCAGAGCTCTCCTACACAATTCCCTTTGCCGTCGAGCTCCTGCCCTACCGCCTTATCTCATACCGAGATTACCCGATACGCCTGTGTCTCTCAGCAGACACACCGCATACTCCCACGAGAAACAACCCCCAATCTGACATTCCAACTCGCGCAGATGGCCGCTTCCACAAGACAGTTCGCCCGCGCGGCGCTGAGAACCTCCGCCAGAACCTCCTTCGCCGCCGCCGCCCCCCGCCAGGCCTTCCGCCAGCAGGGCCGCCGCCTCTACTCCTCCGAGCCCGCTAGCAAGTCCGGCAGCTCGACATGGATCTGGCTCTCCGGCCTGGCCGTCGCCGGCGCAGGCGGCGCCTACCTCTTCACCAAGGAGGGCGGCGTCTCCGCCGGCTCCGTCCCCAAGGTCGTTAACCCCACCAAGGCCGACTACGAGAAGGTGTACAAGGTCATTGCCGACCGCCTCGAGGAGAAGGACGACTACGATGACGGCAGCTACGGTCCCGTCCTCGTTCGTCTCGCGTGGCACGCCAGCGGTACCTTTGACAAGGAGACTGGTACTGGCGGCAGCAACGGTGCTACCATGCGCTTCGCCCCCGAGTCTGACCACGGCGCCAACGCCGGCCTGAAGGCTGCCCGTGACTTCCTCCAGCCCGTCAAGGGTAAGTGAATCCTTTCCCTCCAAATGAATCGCGATCGGAAGGACGATTTGGAAGCGAAGCGCAACGTCTTCTGCATTGGATGCCAATGGAACGAACACTCGCTAACGTTCACGTGCAGAGCAATTCCCCTGGATCACCTACTCCGACCTCTGGATCCTCGGCGGCGTCGCCGCCATCCAGGAGATGCAGGGCCCTATCATCCCCTACCGCCCCGGCCGCAAGGATGGCGAGGCCGCCGCCTGCACCCCTGATGGCCGTCTCCCCGACGCCTCCCAGCGCGAGAAGCACCTCCGTGACATCTTCTACCGCATGGGCTTCAACGACCAGGAGATTGTCGCCCTCTCCGGCGCCCACGCCCTCGGCCGCTGCCACGTTGACCGCTCCGGCTTCGACGGCCCCTGGACTTTCTCCCCTACCGTCCTGACCAACGACTACTACAAGCTTCTCCTGAACGAGAAGTGGCAGTGGAAGAAGTGGGATGGTCCCGCTCAGGTAAGCCAACTTTCTCTTACTTCTTTACATATCGGCACTCTCGCCGACTGGGCGGGGAATGCAAATCGTAATAAGAGAGATGGATGTGCTAACGATTCCAACCCGCGCAGTACGAGGACAAGGGCACCAAGTCCCTGATGATGCTTCCCGCCGACTACGCTTTGATCCAGGACAAGGCTTTCAAGAAGCAGGTCGAGGTGTACGCCAAGGACAACGAGGCCTTCTTCAAGGACTTCTCCAACGTCATTGTCAAGCTGTTCGAGCTCGGTGTTCCCTTTGCCCAGGGCGCTGAGGAGCGCTGGACCTTCAAGCCCACTTGGCAGGACTAAAGCAGTCGCTTATCATCCTGTTTTAAGTGACTGACTGAAGGGAAGGGGCGAGAAAAAAACCATAGAGCAAAGAAGAGAGGCAAAAAGACGAAGGAGAGAGATTTAGACTTGGGAGATGAGAGATATCCACGCGGAATCGGCGTACCGAGAGATAGAGAGGGGGAAAGAGTCTGTTCGAGAGAAAGTGGTGGCCACTTGATGCGCCCCTCTCCTCGAACCTGGTTTTCGAGCGACTGACCAACTTACCTGTAGTCCACTCCTGGACTTGTTTTCATATTTTTGTTGTCTTATGTCCATAGTTCCTGTACAACATCAACACGAACCTTTGAAAGACTAAAAACACACTTGATACTGACGAACTATCGTCATATAGCGTGCACAAACAGAAGGTGACATGTAGTCGGAATAGAGATGAGATGAGATGAGAGGGGGCAAGGGAACGAACTGTCGGATGTCGGATCGTCCAGACACTAAATAAGGGAAATGGGAAAACCCCCCGGCTTGGTGTTCCCCTCTTCCCGTGCATTTTGACAAGCGTCACCGCATCGAAACCGACCCCGGATGGACGGGATGGACGGGAGCCATGCTCGTTTGCGCGTCATGCATGGCTTCGCGTGTGTGGTCTAGAACGAGCAGGTAACAGGTGTGTTCGGTCGGGGCTGGACCAATCCTGGTAGGTGACTTGGTACATCATCACCACCACTCCAACCGGACGCCATGTGCATCCTAGCGGCCTTGCTACCCCGGATTAGGGGGGGAGGGAAAACATGGGGTAGGTAACGGCGCTTTCCCCCGCATTCTGTGTCCCATGCATGCATCCTCGTTTCTGTGCAGCTTTATGTTTCGGTGTTGGAATGGAAGGTATTTTCGGATGACGGTCCTTATTTCGTGATGGAGGTTCAGCTCGTTTGGTGCTTGAACGAGTCTTGATCGAGCACACTCGTCCCAATTTATCACTTGTCCAGGAGCGATGCAGATGTCGAGTCTGCACTGAAGATAGCCCGCGACGGCGAGTGCGCTTCTCCTATGTGAGATTGCCGTGTATGAACCCTGGTCCATTGTTGCAGAAGGGAGGCGAAGCTCGAAACCTGCCTGGGGACGCAAACATGCCGAAGCAGGCAGGTAGCTGTGCTCCAGGTCCTGAAAAGTTACTCCGAATCGTCGTTTTGCAAGTTCCGTACACGTAGCATCCCAACTCTGTGGAGGTACTCACTCAACACATTGAACTAGGTAGATTGGCAAGTGCGATCTCGTTTCCGACAGGCGCCTATCACTTTCGTATACGTCCTTGTATCTACCAATTGGGTGTTAGCCCTTTTGATTCTTTCTGACGTGCCGGCGGTGGAAGGCATCGATGTCTGCGTAGGTATCTTACGGTGTGTAATCCTGCAACGAAGAATCAGGTACCTTGTGGGAGCCGGGTTGATGGTTTTACTCTTAACATTAACAGAACATTTTGGCTTCACGGTATCCCCAGTGAGACCATAATGTGTCGAGGCGGAGTGTAGTTTGGGATGTGTATGAATGAGTCTGACGCTCCATGGTCAACGTTGTGATGTTGCAAAGATGAACGGCATTCACAGGCTGCGCGTGTCGCTCTTCGCCGTAGCTTCTGCTGGGCTTTCTCAAGTCCAGTATCGTGAAGGATGTTTCCGTCAGGCTGGGGATATTGGTGGTCCTAAGCAGTAGATGAAGCGGGAAGGGGCGATAGCTGCTGTAATGGTTTGAGATGGAATGAGAACTGTGTCTGTCGAGAGACGGACTAGCCCGGATGACTGGAAAGGATTGGGAAAACTATTGTGAAAGTGTTCTCGTAATTTGGATCTGAGGTGCGAAGCCAGCCGAGCCCACATCTCTCGTAACACCGAAGAAACCCGGTGTTGGAAGAGACGGGGATGGATATAAGATGGAGAACATAATGTAACCAAGCGGCGGTTTACTCAGGACGACTTACTCGAGGTGCGTGCGCAAGAGACCACATCGAAACAGAAGGAGGCTGATCTCACTTATCCACGCCATGATGAAGCCATTGGACGAAGGAATAAATACTTTCTGCATCACCGGGAGCTCCGTACTTTATCCAGAGTTCCCGCCCGGCGCAGCTAAAATGCCGACCACGGGATAGCTGCGCCGAAGATCGGCCCCACCATCCGGGGACCCACAAGAGCTCTGCAATCGAAGACGCTGCATCTTCAAGTGACATCCACCCCAGTAAAAATTACTGCCATCCGGTCCTCAATCGACATCACCACCATCTCATCAACATCACTTCGCACCCAAACCACCCACGGCTCTTGATCGCCGTACGCATACGAATCGCATACGAACCCCCTCGAGGGCTACAGACCCAATTGCGACGTCCGCGCCCCTACGCACAACATACACACACAAACAATGGCCTCCTGTCGGATCCCAGCCCTACGGCACCTGGTCACCACCTCCCAACGCGCCTTCCGCGCCTCAAACCAACGCCGCTGGGCCCAGGTCCACGACGCCCGCTTCCTCGCCACGACCCAACAGCCCCGCGCCGTCGTCGAAAAGTACCGCGCCAAGCTCGAGAAGAAGGCCCAGCAGGAGGGCGTCTCCAACATTGACGAGCTCAAGGCCGCCTACGCCGACAAGATCCAGGAGCAGAAGAAGAAGGACGCCCTCTCCGTGCCGGGCCTCGAACACCTCCTCAACGACGAGCCCGCGCCCGCGGCGATACCGACAACGGCTACTACCACAACGAGCGAGACGGGAGAAGCCCAGGCACAGACAAAAGACAAGGCCCCGATCCCCGGATCCTCCTCGGGCAACGGCGTCAAACCCCTCGACGAGATCCTCGACCTACCCAAGGCGCGCGAGCTGCCGGACAAGGAACTCACGGCCATCTGGCGCCTCCGCCACGCCTCTGACCCGTCCTCCCTCTGCGCCGTCATCCCGGCGGCGACCTACGCGCAGATGGAATCCCTCGCCCGCCAGAACCCGCAATTCATCCTCCCCGTCCCGCATGAGTCCCAGGGCGCCGAGATCCACTTCTTGCAATGGGTCTTTGACGCCGCTTCGCGCACCGCGACAGTCATGTTCACGCAGCTCGCCGAGTTCAAGGCGCGCGGCGAGTTCGCCCAGCCGCACACGACCATCACGCACCATACCGACCTCGCGGCCGAGAGGGGCCTCGTGCTGATGCAGGGCAAGTGCCTCGAGGACCGCGGAGTCAAGACGGCGCACGCGCAGTGGCTCGTGCTGTGTCTGCAGCGGTTCTACGGCGAGGCGGAGGGCAAGGAGAGGGCCGAGGAGAGGAGGAAGCTGTTGGAATGGTTCCGGTTGGGGGATGAGCGGTTTAGTGTCGAGAAGCTCATGGAGGAGGCGGAGCGCATCAGCTAAAGTTCCGAGGCGTTTGCTCCTGCACGGTGAGGAGGGGTGTGCCTGAAATGCCCTCGTATAGGAGAGGAGGATGGATCGTGAGCTCCTGAAGAGAGGAAGGAGGCTCCTGTACAAATGTTCCACCATGATCATGTAGAATTACAGAAATATATACCATATGCTATGTATACGACATCATTATCCTAATTTGCGTAATGAGTCTCCCCATTGGAAATAAGGTACCCCGTACAAATTTTCCAAGTATCCATGTCAAAGATGCCGTGTCGGTATCTCGACAATCCTTGATTTTCTTTCTGCTCTCTTTCCTCAAAACCTAGTATAATCCCTCATCATCACTGGCCGTTCCATCCTGGAATGTAGCAACGGCCTTGCCCTTGCCCTTTCCCTTGCCATTCGTAACAGTGCCATCATTTTCAGACCCGTACTCATCATCATCACTATCCAGCTCCAAGGCCTTCCCTTTCCCCTTGGACGACGCGGCCGCAGTCGCCTTCCCCTTCCCCTTAGAACTAGCCCTCGAAACAATCGAAGACGTAGAAACAGCCCTGTTGCCCCCAGCCGACGCGACAGCAGCAGGAGCGGGCCGTTGCTGTGGCTGCTGCTGCTTCTCCGGCGACCCCTCGAAGCTAGCCCTCACACTCTCGTAATGCGCCAGCTCGCCGGCACTGACACTCGGCACGAGCTCGTTATGTGCATTCATAAAATCCTCCTCGGTGACCATCACGGCAATGTCCTCGGGCGTGGCGTGGTGATCAAAAAAGTAGGCCGTCGAGATGGGTCCCTGCGGCCTCTCGGCGTTAATCTCGCGGATCTTTGCGTCGACAGCGGCGGCTTGCCGCGTGACTGCCTTGAGCATCGCGTCACTGCACAATGCGTAAAAGTCGGCTCCCGTGTAGGTAAAGGGCAGGCGGTCCGCAACGGCTTGCAGCGACACTGCTGGGTGGAGGGTGAATCTAGGGGGATAGTGTCAGTAAACAACATACGCAAGACGGATATCTTCGCGGAGGAAGGGGTGGGTGATCTTACTTTCGGGTGAGAGCCTCGAGGATCGTACGCTGCTTGTCATGAGTATCTGACACGCCGAGATAGAGCATCTTGTCGAAACGTCCTGGACGGAGGAGAGCGGCGTCGAGCAGATCAGGTCTGTTCGTGGCGCCAATGACGAAGACACCGCCACTGGTATCGTCGCCTCCCGACATGCCGTCCAACTCGGCGAGAAGTTGGGAAACAATGCGGTCCATTACACCACCACTGTCTCCCTGGTTTCCGCGCTTTGGCGCCACCGAATCCAACTCGTCGAAAAAGACAACGCAAGGGCGGGCATCTCTGGCACGTTGGAATACACGTCTGACGTTGGCTTCCGACTCACCAATGTACATGTTGAGCAGCTCGGGACCCTTGACACTGAAGAAGTTCAAGCTGTATTCCGTTGCAATAGCCTTCGCCAACAGGGTCTTTCCGGTACCGGGAGGTCCGTAGAACAGGATACCCGACCTCTTCTTCATGCCCTTGGCGAAGAGTTCGGGCCTCTCGAGGGGCAGCTGAATGGTTTCCGTCACCGCGTCCTTGACATTGGTTAGGCCACCGACGTCGTCCCATGTGACGTTCGGAATCTTGGGCGCGCCGATGGCGCCTGCAAAGTTCTTTCGCGCGGCTTCGACCGCGACTTCAAAGTCGCTCTTGGTAACGCAACGTGCCATCGGTCCACCGGCAACCTGAAGGTCTCGAACCGTCACGGTCTGGCCACCAGTTTCTGTTTTTGAAGAAATTTGCTCCAGTCTCAGCCGCTGTGCGATGAGTGCCCGGTCAACTACGTCTACGAGGTCACCTGCCACCAGCGCTGCGGTCTTCAGGGCGATGCCATTGAGGTCGACCTCAGGGTCCAGGTTGATGCCCCGGTCTTCGATGATGGCTCTCAAGATGCCTTCGCGCTCAGCTTCGTCAGGGGCTCCCATCTCGAGTTCGTGACTAAACAGTCCGCGAACTCCATCCGGCACCTTGTCGACGTCACTTGTTGTTGCAATCAAGACCCTTGTGTCCTGAAGAATCTCCTTCATCGTTGAGACCAAACGCTCAGCCGTCAGAGCCTCAACATGCCGGATCAGCAAGGCTGTGGTTTCTGGGCCGCAGCTCATTGCCCTCTCAGCTCTGGTTCGCAGGAGACCCTCTGTCTTTACGTCGCTGCCGCTAGTCCCAGCTTCACTGAGGATATCATAGGCGTCGATCGAGTACGTGTGCAGGCCAATGTCTGAACAAGCGTCCGATGCGATAGTCGCTTTTCCAATGTTGCGGTGAGTGGCAGTTACCAGGATCGCAACAGGTGGCATCTTCAGATGAACAGCCCTAGGACTGGTAGCTGCTGCAAGCAATTCCCGCAGACGCCGCCGGAGAGGCGAAACGTAACGCTGATCTTGTTCGGGGAACGTCAGTGATGAAGCACTTGGCGCCTTTGACGGCAATCTCTTCACGCCCAGGTAGTATGGCCAAGTGTTGGACTTGGTTGCGGGGAGGCGATGCGTGGCGAATCCAGAGCCGTGCATCGCGACAGACGAGCTGTCGATGCAAGCGACCCCTCCCCACAACTCCTCAGACTGGTCGTTGTCGGCATCGGACTTTGCGAACTGAATATGCCCAACCTTGAACCATGCCACTTGATCAGACCTCGACGATCCTTCTTTCGACAAGGCCATCACGTCGTCAACTTCCGATCCATTGCTTCCGCTGGGCTGCTCCTGAAGAGCTTTACCCAACTGTGTGTCGATCGGTACGGCGATGAGATCGCCAGTCCGTACAAGTCGAATTTTCTGGGCAAAGTACCGCTTAAGACCACCCAGAACCGCCGACTGGTAGGCTCGTTCCGCTGTCACGGGAGAGCGAACATGCTGTATCGTGATATCGCGTGCATAGGGAGGGCGCGATGCGCTGGTAAATTTCGGAAGAGTCCCCTTTCCTTGGTACGTTCCTCGTTTGATGGGTGCTAGTCTGAGATACGAGGGCTCATCGAGGTTTGCCAACAAGATTGGAGAAATGTATGCTGCCGGACTACTGGGTTTCTGAAGCTGAGACTCGAAGAAGGACAGCCTACGTTCGCCGTGCTTTGCGCTTGGTATGCGCGTTACTGGACGCTGAGTGTACCCCTCTGGCAGACCGTACACTCTTACAGGCCTCCAATTGGACTCGACAGGCTCGAGTGATGTGAAGCTGCCTAGGCCAAACGCACCGAAACCGTTTGTGGGGGGTTCTTCAGCAGCCTCGACACGGACCCAGTCCCCTGAGAAGCAGCCAATCTTGGACAAAGAAGATATGTCTACGAATATCCTAGCTTCGTCATCGTCCTCCAGCGCCGGTTTAGGATGAAGAAGGTCCACGGGAATGGTACGAACCAGCCCCTGGGCCTTGAAAAGTCGACCTCGGGGCCGGTCTGGACGCGCCGTAGTCGCAGTGAAGTTGGAAAACACAGAGGCGGGGGTGGCAATTCCATTAGTCTTTCGCCCTCTACCAAGGGTCATCGGAGTCCCTGGTTGCATTGTGGACACGCCACTTGCCGCGGTGGTAGGCAGCGTCGGAGCCTGCAGAGAGATCATGTCGTCCATAGAATCATCGGAGAGGTCGTCGTCCTGATCGATGCCGGAGAGTTCTGATTCCTCTGTCTCGGTCACAGAGTCTATCTCCGTGTTCGCAGCGTCGGTCTTGTACCGATCTTCAGCAGCCGAGTAGAACTGGTCGTTGGCCGTATCATCCTCCTCATCTTCGGGAACGCCGTTCAGGCTTCTGTTCGGGGGAATGGAAGGAGCGACTTGGCCGCGCTTCGTATGTACTCGTCCTCGCATTAAGATGATCTTGGTGCTCTCGGACAAGATGCCTTGGCTGACAGGCTCGCAGAGCATGATCTTGCCCGGGTTTGGGGGGATATGGGTGACCGGGTGCGGTGGGAGCGGCAAAGGGAAGAGGTCGCCAGAGTGCAAGACTTTCAGGCTCCCCAGTGCGACACGCAAGGCCGAGATCAGGCGGCCTTCGGGATCATCGGAGTCTGTGTGACCTTTGCCATCGCCATTGCTCGGGTGATCGCGATAAAAGGTGCCTTCGCCCTGCTCCAAGCGCCTCGTCAACTCGCTCTCCAGGCTCACATATACAGTATCAAGCGAGAGGGTGACTACGTCGAGTATTTGGATTTCGATACCGCTGCGGCTGTTGCTCGAGAGCTTCGATGGCGCGACTTGTTGGAGTATTGTGGCAAAGCTCTGCAGTGACAAGGACGAGGGCGAGAACTGGACAGTCGAGGGCTTGAGGGCCGACGATTTGACGACAGGCACCACGGTCCAGGCGGTTTCGGTCGCGGTAGGGCTCGGTTCCCAAGGGGCGATGGCAACATGGTGTATCTCTTCTGAACCATCTTCGTGAGAGAGTGCTGCGCATCGATAGGGTCAGCGGTTGTACATGCGACGTCGGTTGCAATAGGCGCATCCTTACCGTCGCGGAGGTGGGGGAAGAGGTCTGCGAACAGGTCCTCGGATACAATGCCCACGTCTCCCCTTACATTGTGGTCATCGAGTATCAGCCTGGCTGATATGGCCGGCTTGTCTTGCCTACGTCTTCGTGCTCTTCTGTTTCTTCTCGCCTGGGACGGCGGCGCGAGTTCCGAGGTCGTCATCCTGCTATGTGTATGGCGATGGGTGTAGCGCAATTCAGATGCACATCGCACAGAGGGAGGAATAGGAAGTTATGACTGTCCGTAGAGTACGAAAAGAAGAGAAGGCCACAGAGAAATACACAGTCAATTGATGTCGGGGGTATCAGCAGGAGTAGGTATGTGAGGCCATATCGTGATCTCCGCGTTGACAAGCTACGGCTAAGCTATCCAATGGTCCCTGGACCGGGCTGTAGTCGGGGCCCGCCCATCCCCAGCTTCGGCTTGGGGAAGTCTGCCTCGGCATTGGCGTGTTGCCAGCTGCAGCCGGCTCACCTCCAACGGCTCCAACCTCCTGGGGTCTCCGCCGAGGGCAGCACAGGCCTCTCGAGTCAAAGAACCCGTCCAGGGGGGGGGGGGGGGGGTTGTCTGACTAAGCATACGGTATTAGGAGTCAACCCCGAATAACCTCCGATTCCATGTCCGATAACGCTCCTTCAACATACGGAACAGTCTCTAGATGTTCTATACAAAGATCTGACGGCGAGGAGTTACTGCATCCGAATTCTGTGCTGAGACTCACGTGGCCCATGGACTGTCAACCTACTGTAGCAAAAAGTCGCGAGAACCCAGCTGAGACTTAATACATGCTGGCGCCGAAAGATACCTAGTAGGTAGCACAAGGAAATCCAGCCAGCAAGAGTATGCTACTGTCTACCGTAGTAGATGAGCATACAAGCAGGCATCAACGGCACGGAGAATCCCACACTGCCATTCAGTAAGCAGCTGTATTGTGCGTTGCTTGATTCGCGGCTTGAATCCGCATACGATGACGACGATAAACCCATCTTCGGAAGCAAGGTACCTAGGCGGCCCGCCCTGACCTGGTCGATGGAGACAACAGAGGCTCCAAAGATCAAAATGCTCCGTCCAAAACACACACAGCGTACAGCCTCACCTTGATAGAAACACAGCCAAGGTTTGCAAGGCAAGGTGGCAACCTCCGAACCTATTATAATGTTCTTAACACCCTTTATGACGAGAGAAATCCGCTTGTCATCTTCCTAAAGATCCCAGAGTGTTTTTGTCAATATGTCCTGCCACACGAACTTAATGTACAGTCAGATACACAGTAGACAATATGATACGAGAATGGACTCGAGCGAGTTCAAGGCATTGACTGTGCTATTGCGGTCATCGTTGGCTAAGGCAGGCTCCTCTGGGATATGCCATGGGCTCTATCCATCACCAGCACTCGCACTCGTATTTCAGATGCTCAGTGTGATTAAGATTTGTCCATGATCGGATGTCATGAGCAGAGTTCATGGCAGGCGCGCGGAACTCGAAAGGTTACAATACCTTGCGTGAGGGAAGACGATTGGTAGACTTCCTAGTCGCGAGTTTTCGACCCAACTCATTTGCTCATTCCCAGTGAATCCGTGGCACTACTTACTTCTGTTCAAGATCGGGTTCATCAGGCTCAATTGATGCTACGAGGGTCCGCAGACATCAATGATGCTCGTTTCGTAAGGAAAAAACGAGACAGGATCGTCACATGCTTTTTCGTCCAAGTAATTTCACAGCGTCTGGAGACTGGCACCCAATCATGGCACGGCCTTGAGCAAATGCTCCGAACAACACACACAGCAATGACGCAAGCGGGGCTCCTCCCTGTCTAAGCCGCAGACCAGACTGCAGTTGCACTCTCTCCCGTCTCTCTCACTCTTCCTTCCCGTGCCTTCGGCTGGCTCGACGCTTCCGAGACCTCGAGGCTCAGCCGGCAGCGGCCAGCCGGCGCCTCATTTCTCGCTCTTCCGTCGTCTCTTGTTGTTGTTCTTTGCTGCAGCCAAAGGAAATGACAGGGAAGGAAGGCCCGAGAGAGGCGCCAAAAAGAGTTTCAAATGGCAGCGGCTGGGCCTCGTGGACTCCAGGTTACTGCTTCCGTCACCCGTGCTTGGGATGTGAGGCGCAACTTCGCAAGGCATGGCCAATGTCACCCTGGAGCATGAGAGTGAGCGCGATGGAATTCGATCTGGACCAACATCGACGTCAATCACACCACGATTCTTGCGGTGAGACCGACTGGTCAACAATCGAGAGCAATACTTTTTGATGGCTGCTACTTGCAAATTGCCCCTTATCTTTGTTGGTCTCCAATGTCCCCTAGTTCGCCTCTCTCCCTTTTCATCCACCCGCCAACCCGTTCGTGCCGTTTTAGCTGCTTTCCAATTACCAGACGAGGACATTACTTTGAATATCCCTACCCGTACATCCCCAATTTACTTTCACACACCCCTACCCTCCCACCCTTCTGCGTCCCGGATCTACGCTTTTGCTTCCCTGCCTTGGACAATCCTCGACACCATCTCCGTGATGCCTGTTCATGCCATCAGTGGCTGTGAAAACCACATTTGACAAGCAGAATTCTACCTCGATCAGTATCTTGCCAACTTCATCTCATATCCTTATTCAGTCGCGCAAAGAAAGCGACCACACTCTTCCTTTCCGCGCTCGAATCCCTCCAGAAACGAAATTGTATGCTTGTCGCGTTCGTTGCCGATCATCCCTTTCTGTGCGCGACCGTCGCATACAATCTTGTAACCCCCAAACGTCATGGGCAACTTTTCCGAGTCCCCGGAGCGCGGCCGAGACCGATTACACGACAATGGCATCGCACATGCTGCTATCGAGTTTGCCCAGCAAGCCGAGAAATTGTCACTGCAAAAAAGCGAGAGTAACAACAACGATTCCGAGGTTGCGGTCGAAGCCCGCTTCGTAACACCTCAAGATCCCGTTATAGTCACATCGGACGGCAAGAGACTACCGGGTGTACCACTTCAAGAGGCGCACAAGTTGAACATTCTCAAGGAAGAACTTCAAGACGGTTCAGCCGTGGCCAAGATCAAGGAGGGAAACGACACGGACGGAAAGGTCACAAACGCCGGTGTGCTATCAGAGAAACGAGAGAGGATTGTCTCTCTACCGACCGATGCAAATGGGAAATCCATGCAGAAATCAGGTGAAGCACCTCTTCGTCGCCAAACACCTCCCTCACATACCAACCCATTGTTTCCGCCTCTGCCTCTCTACGGGCCTCCGTCAATATTTCGTAATGTTCAATGCTTGATATTCCGTATTTCAGCATTCTTCCTCAGTTTGGCCTTTCTCGGGGTCATTGTGCTGGGTGCGCTCTTCACTAGCATCCCCCCGCTGTGCAAGAGGATCTTATATCGCATGACACTGCAAAATCCCGATAAGAAGAGGCCCTTCCACGAAGAGGAGGCACGCAGAGCCAAGAGTCGCAAGGAGGAGAACAAAAAATGGAAGCGCAGCAAGACCAGCGATAGGCTGGGTAAAGTGAATGAAGCTGCTGATGAGTTTGTTCCGACCGAAGGGGGACCAGACCCGATCGTCTGCGACGTAGGCTATTACGCTCGCCGTGTTGGCCTGGATGTCGAGGAAATCGAGGTGCAGACCGAGGACGGCTTCCTCATTGATCTCTGGCACGTATACGACCCCAAGGAGTACACAAGGATGAGCGAAGACGATAGGTCCGACAGAGGACCCGACATCTTCCAGTCTTCCAAGAAGAAGCTCAAGGATCCTGATCAGAAGCGCAAGTTCCCTGTTCTGCTCATCCACGGTCTCCTACAAAGTTCCGGCGCATATTGCACAAACGACGAAAGTTCGCTCGCGTTCTACCTGTGCAAGTCTGGCTACGACGTCTGGCTGGGCAATAACCGATGCGGCTTCAAGCCAAAGCACACCTCGCTCAAGTACACCGACCCAAGGATGTGGTGCTGGAACATCCGACAGATGGGCGTCTTTGATCTGCCGGCGCTCACATCGCGCGTGCTCTATGAGACCGGCTTCGAAAAGATCGGGTTGATCTGCCACTCACAGGGCACGACCCAGACGCTGGTCGCACTCGCCAAGGAGCAACGGCCAGACCTAGGCGAAAAGTTGACCGTTTTCTGCGCGCTCGCGCCGGCCGCCTACGCCGGTCCCTTGATTGGCAAGATGTACTTCAAGTTCATGAGGATCATCACTCCGGGCATGTTCAGGTTGATGTTTGGCATCCACGCCTTCATCCCCTTTATGATGCAGATGCACCAGCTGCTTCACCCAAAGGTCTACGGCTGGCTCGGCTACAAAGTCTTTTCTTTCCTCTTTGACTGGACGGACACGAGGTGGGATCGCGGTCTCAAGGATCGCATGTTCCAATTCGCACCCGTCTACGTCAGCGCGGAGTCGATGCGCTGGTGGCTGGGCAGAGAATGCTTCGCGCGACACAAGTGCATCCTCTCAACGAAAGAAGACGTGCGCGCCGAGGAGAAGGAGGATAACATCAACGGCCACGATGCCAACAACACCAACGGCAATAGCCACACTCTCCGAGCCGACGATGCGGACGGCGTCATGTCGCAACGGACCGTAGACGACCACGTCCGCAGACCGAAGGGATCCACAGCTTGGTACAACGAGCAAGTGCCCCCATTTGCCCTCTGGGTTGCGGGCAACGACGACCTCGTGGACGGCAAGAAGCTCCTCCGCCGCTTCGAACGCGGGCGCGAGCCGCACGTCAACGTCGTGCACAGTAAGGTCATACCTGAGTACGAGCACCTCGACGTCATCTGGGCCATGGACGCGCCGGAACAGGTGTTTAAGGAGGTGCGCGAGGTGCTGTGGAAGACATGCGACGTCAGGGACGCGTGCCGGGTGCCGGTGGCGTGCGAGGAGGTTGAGCAGTGGGTACGACCGCCGCCGAGGAAGCTTGCTAACGGAGCCGTGGAGGAGAGCCAATCTAGCAGCGACGAGACTGAATAGAGGCCGGACTCGTACGGGAAGCGGCGGTGGTTTCTATCAAGCTATGGCGGATCTGTCATGTGGGATACCCTCTTGACTTTTAGATACACAAGCTTTGGCTTTCTTTTGAGCGGCGGGTATCGCGAAGGAGTAAACGGTGTTGGCGCATTGGAATACACAACTTGGGACTAGGGATATCAGACGTATAACCTATGAGTAATGGTAATGAAATGAGCTCTTATAACGCGGGATACGATACCACTATCAGTGATTTGGAGGCATGGACACATAGATCATGACATGAAACATCAGTGCAAGCCCTTGAACAAATGCACATGTGCAGCTGATTCGACGAGGAGATCTAGCGTACCGTCTGAAATGAGAGCTATAGGTTTTCCCCTCAAAAACATCAAACGACCCGCCTCATCTGCGAACATCATCCAACGTCATTCCATCCCCTAAGCCCCTACTACTCTTGCACAATAATCATGCGTCTCCCACAGGCTTCCCATCGTTCTGGGGCACTGCCGCTTTAGGCCTGGAAGCTATTTCTGCCTCCTTCGCCTTCGAACCCCCAGCATCCTCCTTCTTCGCCTCAGTGGCCTTGGGCTTCGTCTCGGTTTCACTTTCTTCATCGTCTTCTTCACTGTCCTCGCTGCTGTCGTCGCTATCGTCTTCTTCGTCATCGTCCTCCTCGTCATCATCTTCTGCAGGCGGCGCTGCCTTGACTTCCTTCGCAGGGGCCGAGGTCTTCTCTGTCGCGGCAGCCTCCTTCGGCGCAGCTGTCTTCTCCGTCACGTTGGGCTTGGTAGTGTCCTCAGCTTCCTCCTTTTCCGGTTCCTCCTTGATAGCCTCAGCCTTCTCGACCTCGGCGATCTTCTTCTTCTCTGACTCTTCCTCTTTCTTCAACTCTTCCTCTGTCTTCAACTCTTCCTCTGTCTTCAACTCTTCCTCTGTCTTCAACTCTTCCTCTGTCTTCGACGCTTCCTCCTTCTCTGGCTCCTCCTTGATGACCTGGGCCTTCTCGACCTCTGCAATTTTCTTCTTGTCCGACTCTTCCTCGTCGGAGTTCTCCTGGCTGGGCTCTTCCTTGATAGCTTCGGCCTTCTCGACTGCGGCAATCTCTTCCTGTGATGCAGAAGCCACCTCGGCGCCCATGTGGACCGTCACGGGCTTATCGACATCGGAGGGCTTCCACCGGGCTGTTGTCGGCGACTGGAGTGTCTCGCGCAGAGCGTCTGGGTTGGTTGCCGTGGTGGCAGTGATACCCCAAGAGCCCGTAGTCGGCGATTGAAGGCCCAGGGGCTTGGCGCTCTGGACCGACGAACCACTGCCAGTGCTTGCTACGGAAGGCTCTCGGGGCGTTTCCGGGGTTGCGGTCGTAGGTTCGGCAGCGGCTTTGGCTTCGGCCTTCTTTTCGGGCTCAGCGGCGGTCGTTGTTGCCGCGGATGCAGCCGCAGCTTCGCCCTCGGCCCTTTTATCTGCGGCTGCCTGTACCTTTTCGCGCAGCGATTTCAGCCGGATTTCCTTAGCCCTCTTGGCTGCCTCGTCGGCGATGGACTGGTGGGACGCGGTAGAGGCACTCTCGACAGGTGACTTTGGCGTATTGACCGGCTTGTCTTTGGCAGGCGCTGGAGCGCTTGATGTATCGTCCTTGGGCAAGGGAGGCGCCGGCGGTGGCGCAGGAGCGGACGAGGAAGACTCAGATGAAGAGGCAGCGGCAGCGGCTTTCGCTGCCAACGTGCCCTTTGGTACCTTTTTGATGATTTTCTTCTTGACGATTTCCTTGGGCTTATTGTTGATATCGGGGATAGTGAATTCGTCGTAGTAGATCTTGACATGTTGCTTGAGCTCGCCATATTCGTTCCATTCTTCGATCTCGACGATGTCCTAGTAGAAATCATGGTGTCAGAAGATGGTTTCTCCTCGGCAAGCCTAAGGTGCCTAGCACCGAGTGAAGGGGTGAGTCTTACACCGAGGACGAGGCCTTCTTGTATGAGAGCTGGGAGCTTCCTCGGTCGGCCCGAAGCGTCTTTGCCGGCACGGCGGCCCCAAAGCATGCGGGCCTTGTCATCGGTGGAGAGATCGATGGCTTTGAAGGGGACGCGGTTGGCGCGCAGGATGGTCTCGAGACGGGACGTGGCGGTCACGATGTGCATATTCCCAGCGGTCAAGGAAGTGAAGATCCACAAGGCCGGATCGGTAGAGAAGGTGGTTGCAGTCAACTGCGCCATGATGCTGAATTCGGTATGATTCGAGGCGGGTCGATTCGATGGGATGCAGGGAAGAGCTCCTAAGCCTGAGGAGAGGGGAGAAAAGGGACAGCTACTGGGAAGCTAAAAGGGGTCAGATTCGATCAGTATGAGCTTAGGAAATATCGAGATGCAGACGGGAAGAATGGCGGCACAAGACAAGGCAATATGCATGGTGGGGAGCCTTGCATTACGTACCTTGTGACTGATTGTTCTTTGGGGTTCTCGATGACATGTAGCTAGCTGCGTTCCAGTGAGACGATGCAGTGCCGCATGATACGCCGGTAGCGGTTCAGCGGCTGCTGGTGGGGGTTCCACGCAGATGAAACTCGAAGGGTCGTGGCTGGAGACTGTTGGTGCTCTCCTCTACAGCGGCTTGTGGCTCTGCCTCCAACTCGAGAAGCTTACCTAAGGCATGCGGGGGCGGGGTCAGAGACATATCTCAATTCCGTACATACAGATTACAGTGCAGCGGTATTGACTTCAGGTATAAGGTACCCTATGCTGGCTGTCTTTCAACTTTGAGGTACGCCGTGAGGTTGAAGATCAAAGGAAGATATTCAAACTAATGGTATCTTTCCCTCTTGCCTGACTGGACGCTTGGCGACGCGGCTGCGCCTGATGAGTCAAAAAAATGGAAAGCGGCAAGAGTGAGGTGGCTTACCAAATGAGCTGGCAAGACAGAGCTGCAAGATGAGGTGTTCAAAAGTGGAAAGCGTCACGCGGTAAGCGCCGTCCACCACAAACTTGGCTCCTTCCCTCCTATGTCATCGAGTATTCGTGAGCAGGACTCTAGTTACAACTCTTGAACATTTTCATCTACGCATGTCCCACATGCATTTTCGGCTTGACATCTCCAGGCAGCATCACTGCTGCAACACTTTTCCAATATGACTTAAATGCCAAGTACTTCACCACAGCGACTCAGTCCTTTTTCACATAGAAGAACCTCAAGCCCCAAGACTTCTTGATCTCAACAACGACGGAAAGAAAGAAAAAAGTCAAGATTACTGGCTGTTGACGTCCGTCCTTCTTGCCGCTAATCAGACATACCAATTGGTCACCAGCTCCTACTGGCACCATATGATATGGCAGCCATCAGCAAGCTACCACGTGGGAAACAGCGCGATCCCGAAGTGCTTCGAGCGCTATAGAGAACATCAGATCGAGCATGATAACAAATATAGTATTCAGCCGGTTTGCCGGCGATTGAACAGACAAAATGGCAAACTCAATGTGACACCGTTCAAATGGCCTATACGCATTCACTAACACGCCGACTTTGCCGTATAGTAGGTTGACGAAGTCATTCACACTTCATTGCAAACAGCCCAAACAGGGGCGCCCAAACAACCGCAGCAAGGGCTTCCTTGCAGTGAGCCGACTCCTCAATCAGACACTTCACGAGAGGCCATTGCCGTTGTTGCAATCAACGTGGAGGCAGAATACACAATCGCATGGTGTGACGACAAGGTCTAGAGGCGACAAGCAATTGTTTCAAAGTCCCATTCTAGCTTCGGAAAGCCGTCCTAGACACCTGGCGCTCTGATGCCAAACTTTCCATCAGTTGTCCCAAATGCTCCCCCTTCCACGGGGTCACGACATTTTCGCGTTATCAACTCTGGATTAGGCTGCTGTGACGATACTCCGTGGCGCCGACGATCGCTGTCAGAATCCGCATTCGGAGGAGCATTCTACATTATCATCGTCTTCTTCTTCGCAGACCCTCGCAAACCCACTTGTTGGCACCTTGGCCTCATCTCGCAAAAAGAGAAGCTATCCACGATACCTACGCTTCTGAACCTGGTTGAGCTAGCTGGATAAGGAATTCCCTGAGCCCTTGCTTCGAAAATACTGGCACCCTCCAAAGCGTCGCACATCCATGATCCCCCCTCTGAACGGGAAATGGCGGTGGAGCCTCCCCATGATTAAGATCATTTCTCGCGACGACTCGCAAGTGCTGCGGCAGGGAAACACTCTGGGAACAGCTTATGGTTACTCAAGACTACGTCGCCGGATTGGCTGGGCGAGGGTCAATCTGACCGATGTTTCTCTCTTATAACCCCAGGCTCTGGGTCACACCATGGAACCGCGCAATGACCGAACAAAGAATGGAGAGAGACCTGAATCTCAATCGGCCGAGCGATAACAACGACACGATACACGTCGTCATTGCAGACGGAGACACCTTTGATAGTGTGCCTGTGGTCAACCGCTGAAAACCACGCCAGCATCTGCATAAATGCTGTGCTTTTCCCTGCAGTCGCACGATCCCAAAATAAACCGGTCGAGCGGCTCAGGACGAGCTAGATCTGTCGTCGACTCCTCTAGGCTAGCAGGTTTCCCATCGGTCAACGGATAACAAACGGCGTTGGCGCCATGGCAGGAGCGCAGAGCAATGGCTTGATTCCCGAGGGCGGTGGCGGCACCCAAGCAATTTTTACGGCGTCGAGTAACAGCTCTGAGTCCTAACACAAAACTCAGCATCATCTACGGTGTGGGGGAATGGAAAAGACGTGATGACGATGAAAATCCTTGGTCTCGCTGGGCAATGATTGGCAAGCGCATTTCCCACGTCGCCCACGTTCCGACGGAGAGGGATCCAACACCCAAGTCTGCTGCCTCGCCCCCGGTCGCCCCGTGCAGCAGGCCAGCGAAAGGAAGAGAAACATGGCAACCAAACAACGCAGCATCGACCAGGTCTTGGCGTCAATAATGACCTGGAGATTCTGTGGCGGCTCTGACTGGTCCTGACTCTGCCATCTGCTCACAAGTTCGGATGAGTTGTTTTTCAATGCACCAGGATACGCTGTTCCTGCATATGGCTAGCAGGGGTTCTGGAGGCGATCTGCCAGGGCTCTGCAGGCACGAACCAGTGGGAGCTGCAGGCTGAGAAGACCAAGAAAATCTAGAGCAAGGTCCCGTCAACGAAGCCGTGAAGCGCAAGCTTGCGCCGTGCAGTGCCGGCCCACCGCCATGTCTGTGTAGCCAATCACCCGGGCCACCACCGACGACGAGATCCTGCGTCCTGCGGACCCAATTTTGGACACGATCCCTTCCATGGGACTTGGTGCCGTTGCCCGGACTGACCAGCCGCTTCTGGTTCGTTGACCCAAGGCCTGGCTCTGGGACATCGGACAACACCCACAGGCCTCATCTCACGTCCCTCTGCGCTCCTCTTGCCTTCCCGGGGCTCTACGGATGCGAATGCCCTGCTTGGGTGCTATCAATGGGACATCTGAGATAGAGGGACACGCGACAAGAGCCGGACCCTGTCGTGCTCGTCCGCTATAGCCTACCTTCCAGCGTTCAAGGATCAGCCTGTCGTTTCTCCGACTCTCATCTCCTCAGCAAGCTCAGCTTCTCTCTTCCACTTCGTACGTGGTACTGTGGTACGGATAGGACTCTCTCTCACAACTCTGACAGTTGGATCAGTACTACAGCAAAAAGAAGCGTCGCATTCCTCCAAGGCAAGGCAAGGAAGGCCCCCATGGCCATTTCGCCCCTGGTGTTGTTCGGCTTGCAGCCTTGCTTGCTTTGGTAGCGGTTATTAGCATAATAACACTAGGAGAAAAAGCAAAAGCAAAGCCGAGCAAAGCGCACAGAGCGACGAGTCTGGCCCCCATGTCCTCGTTCGCGCGCCCACTAGTCACCCACACACCCTTCTCTTTGGCCGCGTCGACGACCAACGGGGGACAACGGGGGGAGGGATGGGGGCCATCGGGACGGGACCCTACAGGCACAGGCATACCAGAGACAGGAAACGCCGTGTCGCCCAACGCTCGCAAAATTTCCGCCAGCCCACACGCCCAGCGGCGCTTGTGCTGGTTGCCCACACAGTTCTGCTGGAGACGGGGCGCCGGGGGGGCGGTAGGAGGAGTCAGGATTCAAAGGACCTGTGTCGTGGTTGTTCGGCCGAGTCGTGAAAAGGAGAAATACCTCGCCTGCCCCCTCCCACACGCCTTACACTCTCGCTTCTGTTTCCTCACCGTTGCTCTCCTTACCGCTACGTTCAGTGCCCACACTCTCTTGCAACTGCTCTTCGTTATCGTGCCTTTTTTGCTGCACATTACTCTCATTCAGATTTATCAATATCGACAAGACAGTCCCGTCATTCCCTCGACATTGCATTCATTAAAGGCACACGCCCTGCACGCCCACACACAACTCAATCCGGTGGAAACTCGTCAGCTTTAGTCATACATTGACTTACACCGATTCTCAAAGCCTACATAACTTATCCAACCAACATCAGTCAAAATGCGTTTCACCAGCATCTTTGCTCTCCTGGCCGCCTCGGTCGCCGTTGCTCAGTCCGCGGATGAGAGCACCACGACCATGACCGCCACCACCACCAAGACGGTTACCATCACCAAGTGCAACCCGACCAACACTGCTTGCCCCTTGTACACGCCGACTTCGACTGTTGCGCCTACGATCAACTCGACGACCTCCACGCCCATTTCCACCTCCACCTCGTCGTCTTCCTCCTCTTCTTCGTCGTCCTCGTCGTCGTCCCACTTCTACCCGGCTGCCAACTCCACCAGCTTTGCTGGCCCGACCGCCTCGGCCCCTTGGACCAAGTCTACCGTCCTTTCCATCAAGACGTCTGCCGACGCTTCCGCCCCCACCTCTGCGGGCAGCGCTGTTCCCTCCGCACCTGCAAGCGCTGGCTCTGGCCTCTTCGTTCAGAGCGGTCTGATGGCCGCCGTTGTCGGTCTTGCTGCCCTCGCGCTGAACTAGACGGCTTCCCTGGTCGTCAAAGTGCAACTCGCAATTCGCAACTCTCAGTCACTTCACTTTAATTCGATTCACGACTGATATCACTATTATTCTAAGGGGATAGGATGATTGGAGACCTTTTGTTTTATCAACGATTCTGGGTGTTTTGGAAAGCGGATTGGAGCCTCGGCTACCGGGTGGCCTTACACTTCTAGCCATAGACTTATTGTTTGGGTGTCGGATGAGTTGGAGGAGTTTATACCTACTGGGACATGATTGCAGACATACCCGACAGATGATGCACATACTCATACTCTATTTTCTGAATGAGACGAACCTGAGATGACCTCACATTTTGCCCCTCATTGGCTCTGGAATGCAGTGACTGTGATGAAATGACGCACGATCGGGCCGTTTCGATGTGAGATGTTTTGCAAAGACATTTGCCTGATTCACCATGTGTGTATTTGAGCACGACAACTGCAGGGTCTCAACA